TACACAGGGCAGATAATTGCTATAAGAAAATGCCCAAATGTATTTCAAAAGGTGCAGCAGTGAAAATCTGGTGTATATGTTTTCTTTTCTTTTTTCAAACCATTTTCATATACTTGTAATCCCAAAATAAAATTGTCTAGCCCCATGCTGTCCAGACATGAAGGTTTATTTTTACATTTTAAGTTATAGTCATGAATAGGTTTCATTTAAGTTGAGTTTTATTTTAATTATTTTTTAAGTGCTCAGTGTGAACCTGACCATGCAGTTTTACACAGAATTGGACAAATGACTATGGCATGTAAGAATGTGAGCTATGTAAAGGTAAGAGGTTGGTGATATGGTAGCTCTTGAGTGAAAAACCCTAACATGTCTTTTACGCCATTGTGGTCTTTTTTATATAATTGGGTTCGAGAAAAGGTAAAGTGTCTGTGGAGAGTTTGACAGATTGAAGGAATATTATTATGGCCAGTGCAGTGCTGGAGGAGGATAGGGGGTAATTTCATGTGATGTTACATATATGTATGCATCAATAGGCAAGAGGATATTGAGTTCAGGGGTCACGCAGAATGAGGTTTTTCCTTTTATGTAAAGAAGCTGCCTCAAATGCAAAACGCACATTGACGCATGGAGCAGGCCACGATTCACAGCAATGGTTCCATTTTTAGGCGATTTGCGTGAGATGAAAAACACAATATGAAGGTTGGATTAGGTCAAGAATACGTGACATGTTTAAAGTTTTGACTCGCAAATTTCCTTCCAGTTGTTGATGCTTCTCCAGTTTGAAATCTAACAGTTTACGACATCTCTCTTCTGTTTGTGGTGCATTTGTAGTGTATTGTTATAGCTGACACCGTGTAAAATGCAATCAGTTCTCACTAGGACTACATGTTTCGCAGCTTTAATGTCTGTCGCACCTCAGCCATGCGCAAAACGTGGCGAAATGTTCAAGTTTGGGGTTAATCTAAAAGACAAAACGCTTACAAATTGAGTAACATGACACGTACTTAACAAATCCACATTGGCATGGTAATCCAAGGGCAGTTAGGGCAAGGTGTCACTTTCCCACCGCGCCAAAGTGGACCTCGAGCGCGCAGCGTGCCGTACACATGAGCGAGTGAGGTTGAAGATGGAGCTGACCAGATATGTTTTTTTTTTTTTTTTTTTTTTTTATTATTATTATTACTGATGTCAAATACCCTGTTGACACAGATAGCCAAATTATGCAAATACATGGATACAAATACAACTGATTTAGATAAACAGCAAAAGCTCACATTCTCAACCTTTAAAAGACAATTATTTAAAACAAAACATTTACTAAATAGGTTAGGTTATTACATTGTATTTATATTGTATGAAACAATCTTAGAATTACGCATGAGATTACGCATGCCAAAAATGGGCCTAATTACGCGTACTGGTGATTGTTTTTAATATTCCCAATAAATAATAATTTGAATCTTAGTCTAATAACATGAAGATTCAAGTAAAGCGCTGGAACAGGCCAGATGGATTCAGTTATGTGTTTAATTGTCTGCATTTGCTTAGAAATGATAGTCACATTTTACATCCTTTAAAAAATATAGGCCTCGTTCTTTTGATAGACTACAAAAAAGCATAAACACAAAATATAAAACTATAAACATCACGGGGTCGATGACTGAGAATATTATTAATGAACAAGGTCCAAAACGCGCATATGGGATGTCCTACTTTAGGCCTTTCCACTGGCTACTGACGCTCAAGTCCAAAATATTCGGCACTAAGGACGCGTAAAAATGAGACCTATCATACAGTTTGACACAGTGCGGGTTGATGGAGTGCATTCTTGGAAATCATCTAAAAACAACCAAAGAAAGAAAGAAAGAAGAGGAAGAGAAAAACTGGAGAGCGCAGTTACGTTGAAAGAGTTTAGATTTGTAAATGTTGTAAATAATGATTTTGAAAAACCAGTACAGGATCAGAGATAAATATGTATTATTATTATTATTATTATTATTATTATTATTATTATTATTATTATTATTATTCCTTGTTAATTGTGACAGGTAGAATAATTGTCGTGGTGTAAATTAATTAACATAGATTATAATGTGGTTATTTAAGGTGCAGTTATAAGCATCCAGTAAATAACTGTTTTTTGGATTTTTTTTTTCAGTTGACGTCTGCATTTAAGGTTTAGTAATTTTTACAATTTCAGTTTAAGAATGGTGAATTAATGTGCTCATAGGCTACTTGGAATGAACAAAAACAGCAGTAGTCTAAATATTTATTGATTGATGCCAATGGAAATAAAGGAACGGCTCATTTTCACACATTGTTGTGATTTTACATCAAGGACATTTACATTTGTATTCATATTTTGTTTTTCTTTTCTGAATTTTTGCATTTTAAGAAACTAGTTTATTTGAAATCATTGTAATAATTATTTTATAACATTGTGTACATGCATGAATATCTTCTCCCTTTAACTCTTTTCTGTCTGTTTTGAAAATATTGCTTTGACATTGCACTGGCCATCACTTATGCCTAACGTGTTCCAGTCAAAAATGACACAAGAATTATGAATGTGAAATTCTATTTATTTATTGCATGTTATAGCACTGATGACAGGAGGCCTTACGCATTGACCTTACAGTGGCGTCCTTGTTCACACGGTGCCTCGGCAGGTGACCCTGACCTTTGACCTTCGGGAAGAGGGAATGAAAAAGTAAAACGGGAAAGATATGAGCTCCCTCTGTTCCCCGGTCTCTGTGCGCCCCCTCCCTCGGAATCCACCGGAGCATCCCATTATTATGATCACAGTTATTTGTTGTGCGACCTTGTTGGTAGTTTGCTCTGATCACACGTGCTGACTGTTCCCCTGCTCTGCCTCTTTTCCAATTTCTGCCCGTCTGTCTATGTACCTGTCTGTCTCCTAATGGTGTCATGGTGAAGCGACTTGGCTTATTATACTAAAAGGTTTTTGTCGCGCTAAGCCTTGCATGTGTGCTTAAAACGTACATTTCATTAACAAACTGCGGCGGTATAAAAGCGGATTTATGAGGCTTCAAAAGATCACAGGAAGGACGGCGTTTTGGAAAACTCCCTCCCTCTCTTTTTCTCCTTTGCTTGCGGTTGCCGGTGGCAGGTTGTTTCAGCAGTTACGGAGAATCCGCCTTTCACACAACGCTGCAACTACAGGGTCTGTAAAAGACCAGCGTCTGCACCTGTCCTAGGGGAGAAATAAGAAGAAAGCATTTTAGTACAGACACGAGCGTGAAAAACACATGCTATTTTCAAAGCTATTAAGGTGTTATTTTCGTTAATTAAATAATAATAATTTGGCCGTGCGAAGATGATTTTACGCATACAATATTTTTGCACAAAATAAGATTTCAAATGAATAAATCTCAAAACAAAATATTTTCTGCCATCAAAAGAACTATGAGGTTCATCCTCTAAACGTGATCTGCCAAATCAATCCAGAAGAAATTACTTGCGCTTTCTTAACCAGGCGCGCGCCCTACGGATAAAGAGGATCCAAGTTGATGTACCGAGGTTTCATCTGCTAAGTAGCCCGTATTGACAGAGGCCCAGATCACACGGGTCACCGTGAGATTAACACGACACACACAGCACAGGTTATCACCATCGGAAAGAGCGGCCCGTTTACCCCAGACCAGACCCCAGTGTTATTAATGACAGCGTGGGATTATAACGATTTTTACAAAGAGACTGAAAAGGGCTGGGGATGTGAGAAAATAAGGTTTGCCACAATTAATACACAGCGAAATCATTTAGGCTACATGAATAACATAGGCTATTTAGACAAGATAGATAAATAAATAAATGTGTGTGTTGATTAAATATAAAAGGCGGTATTATTATTATTATTATTATTATTATTATTATTATTATAAAGCTATTGTAATTATTTGTTGATTGTGTGCCTTAATAATGTAGACTTACGTTTTTTTTTTAAATCATTTCTATTAACTGAAAAAGTATTTATATATTTCATTTATGTAAAACGTTTTCTCACAAAAATCCATGGAGCATAATATAGATATTTTCATTAACCTGTTAAATGACTTCCAATAAAATCAATAAACGTCTTTTAACACCTCCGCACATATGGCTAAATCTATCTTTTTTTTCTTTTATTCAGTTTGATTAATCTGTTTTCATTTGTAATAAAACCTAAAAGGCTACAGCCAAGTGTTATTTGGGCTCAGATTTTCCCACACTGGAGACGCAGGAAAAACTCGGCACGAGCGCTCACCTTTCCTCTGCGCTCGTGAATAAGAAACGCTATCTTTGCATTCACCCGCTGCCGCATTTCCTACTTGATTCAAATGCAAACGCATGCAATGATCGGGGTCGTTAGCACCTCTTCCAAACTCTTAAGGCATTTCTTTATACTTCATTCATTGTCGCTTCGGTTTCTCTGCTGCGTCCCTGGGCTAATCCTGTGCGAATAAATAGACGTGAATCAACTGCTTTGCATTTGGCAAGAATGGCCTTAAGACAGGAAATATTACAACATGCATAAGAGAAGGCTAAACAAACAAACTAAACAAAGATATTAATAAAGAATAAACCATGCAGAAACGTACCAAGGGTCTCTTAACTTTCTCAGCGGCTTTCTGTTGACTTGTGCAAAAGCTTTGGGTTGTTTTTACGCGCAAGTGCTGGCGCACATTAGATCTTTCAATCAGCAATTTTCTCCCCCTCCTTCTTCTCCCCGCGCCACCGTTAAATGGTCTATGACGGACGAACCCCGAAATGAGCGCAAAGCAACACTGCTGATGTCCCATTGTTGACAAATCCATGAAACAACTCCAGTTTGCATGGTTTAACAGCGAGAGGTAGAGGCAGTGGGAAGGCAGAACACATGGTGAGAAGGGAGGGAGAGAGGGGTAAGGGGGCGTATGTCGTCACCAAACCACGTGTCCAGCGCAGATAGTATATCTTATCCTGAAAGAGGGGAAAGTAATCTATCAGACAGTCTCCTTTAAAAGCCTTTAAAAGCATGTGTCACCTCGACTCGATTCTCCGAATATTACTCGTGCTGTAGCGGGATATATCCACACTCACGCGGCGCTGTGGTCACAACGAGAGACTTCACACAAAGTCAACAACAAGTCCCAGACGAGACGAGAGGCTGCGCTTTTACGCACGGGAGAAATACTTGAACATTTTTGGCTTTCGGAATAGAGACATTTTCCGAAGCAGTCGGGCACTCGTCCCACGCGGTTTTCTGTCTCCGGTGCCTCCTTGTGCTTTGATTCGACTTTTCTCAACACCGCGTAAAGTCAGCTGTGAGATGACCCTGTCTGGAGGCAGTGAACGAGCCAGCGACATGTCCGGCCAGACCGTGCTCACAGCCGACGATGTGGACATCGATGTGGTGGGCGAAGGGGACGACGAGATGCTCTTGGAGCGCGTGGACAGTGAGTGCGACAGTCCCGTGGGCAGAGGACCCGAGGATGAGGATGATGAGGATGAAATCGAAGTGGACAAGGACGACATGAGGTCTGGAGGAGTCAGTCCATGCTGCGAGAGCTCAGGAGAAGGGGATGTGAGCGGGAAAACAGAGGACCACAACTCGGGCTCAATCCAGAAACCCAAAAGTAGCCTGGTGAAGCCTCCGTACTCCTACATAGCCCTCATCACCATGGCCATCCTGCAGAGCCCGCAGAAGAAGCTCACGCTTAGCGGCATCTGTGAGTTCATCAGTAACCGCTTTCCTTATTACAGAGAGAAGTTCCCCGCGTGGCAGAACTCCATCCGCCACAACCTGTCCCTCAACGACTGCTTCGTCAAAATCCCCCGGGAGCCTGGCAACCCGGGCAAGGGCAACTACTGGACCCTGGACCCGGCCTCCGAGGACATGTTCGACAATGGCAGTTTCTTGAGGAGGAGGAAGCGCTTCAAGAGAGTTCAGCCCGACATGCTCCGGGATCAGACTGCACTAATGATGCAGAGTTTTGGCGCCTATAGTTTGGGAGGCCCATACGGCAGGCACTACGGCATCCATCCGGCTACATACCCGCACCCAGCTGCCCTGCAGTACCCCTACATCCCTCCTGTAGGGCCCATGCTTCCTCCAGGTGTGCCACTTTTGCCCTCATCAGAGCTGAACAGAAAAGCCTTTGGTCCCAGCCTTCAGCTCGCTCAGCAGCTCAACAGTCTCAGCACCGCGTCTATGATCAAGTCCGAGCCGTCCGCCAGACCGTCCTTCAGTATAGAAAATATTATCGGGGTCTCCAGCTCTTCCTCCACGGCGGCGGCGCAGGCTTTTCTACGGCCTCCGGTGACGGTGCAGTCGGCCCTGTTGAGCGCACAGTCACTGTCTTTGACTCGGACCTCAGCGGCCATCGCGCCCATCCTCAGCGTCCCGTCAAATATAATCTCTGGACACGTTCTGCCGTCTGCCACGGCCGCTGCAGTGTCCAAATGGCCTTCACAATGACTTAAAACCAGCCTAAAATAAACTCTTATTTTTATATAAAACATTATTATATTATAAAGGAGGAAGGGTGAACAAATGCACAAACCACTAGGCAGCACTGGACTCTGTAGCCATATAGGCTAAAGACTGTTGAAACAGAGACTTAAGGACATATTTCTGTACAGGTAATATTTGTAAATATTTGTAAAGTGATCAAAGAGAATCGTTTGGCTTTGTCTTTTCTGTTCTGTTTATGTGAACGTTGGTTTTTGTATCGGGAGCTTCACTTTCATACAAGAAATACCACAGACAACACTGACAAAACCTTGACGTGTTTATAGGAAATAAACAAAACAATAACTAAATAAATGTCATTCTATGTAGTTTTAATGTGTTGTAAACTGAAGTTTATTTGTAAATAAATTCAAAAACTAAAATAATTTAAGTAATTTGCATTTTTTAACTGGGGGAAATTGTATTAATTTTCAGTTGAAAATGTAATATGTTTTTTTTTTTTTTTAAGACGATATCATTTCTAAATATATTGATAATTTTAATTCTATAATTGGAAATAATTACAGAAAATTGAAAAGGTTTCAAAATATCATGGAACTAGATTATATTTTTAATTCAATTTTTAAACAAATTGCCATAATATAGCTTCTAAATATAAACTATTATTTTGCGCAATGCGTAATTACGCATGGGATTTCTTTGGCACAATAGGAGTTAAGAAATAAAACTATATTATTATTTTGTTCTATTAATATATATATATATATTTTTTAAGTAAATAGTATAGCAGAAGTTTTTTTTTGTTTTTTTTTTTGGCAGAAGATAATATAAAAACATAAAATTAAAACTGCGTCTCCCATGTTTGGAATAAATAATAACATAACACATATCGGACGAAAAGAAGAAGAGAAAAGAGATGTGTTTGTTTCTAGCACTCCACAAGCACAGAAAAGCTTATACTTAATTATTGTGAAGCGATCAAATTCCGATGTAATGCACCAATTCAAATTACCCCTTAGCAGGTGCAGCTCGGGATAATATTAGACTACGTGAAGGAAAGCAGTATTTTGATGGACGTTGTGTGATTATAGGGGAGACAGATCATCTGATTTAAACGTATTTATTTCAGTGTAATTGTTTTAAAATTACATTTTTGTTTTCTTTGCACTCAGCCAGGTCATATTTAGAGCCTTTTCATTTACCATTACATCAGTGATGGTATCGTTTTACAGGCTTTTCTGCGGCTTGGCTACTATAAAGGTAACAGTTTCGCAGTTGTGTCTGGCTAATCACTTTTACACAAACAGCAAATGGTGATCGGGCTAGGGCGCGCGCCTGTGTGTGTCTGTGAGCGCGTGAGGGGGGTTAAAGGGGCTATATTTATCTGATCCCCATGGGAAAGACTTGGGAAAGAGAAAGGCGCTTCTCTCTCTGCTTCAGTTCACTTCAGACACCGAAGAAGGTGCTGATGATGCAAAAGGATGCTCCAATGTCACCCGGAATTTCCAACCCTGACTTCATTCATTATCGATCTATTTTATGCCCGATCATCTCCGCATATTATTAATCAGAGGAAGACAACCTCATAATTTAAATAATTAAAGCAAAACATGCAGTTTCATTTTCCCGAACGTTTTTCCAAAAAATTACAACAGTAAAAAGAGACTGCATTTATAGTATAAACTTTTAGATATAGACCTAAGCAATGTTATTCCTTTTTCACAAAAATGCTTGACGCACCTCCTGAATGGCACCGTTGAATTTGTGCCTTTAGTTTGTAGTAGCCAAAAGCTTTTTTGTATTTTAATGAGAATAATAAAAAGCCTACTTTGAAAGAGAAATTAAACCAATGAAAATAGCGATATATAGGCTAATGACTGTGAATCGATCAATTTAACAAAGCTTTATTATGACAATCTGCTAATCATGAACCAGCACTTATAGGCAATTTAAAGGTCAAAGGCAATCAGAAAAGAAGTGCAACGGGGTCAAATCTAAAATGTAGTTTGTGCTCAATACGCATGATGATACAGATGAAAAATAATAAATACTGGTTTTCTAATTATGCAGACATAGAATCTGTGACATTTATTCGTCTTGGCTCTGGTGGAGCGGCAGGGCTGCAGACACAGCTGTTGCTTAATGATGTTTCGTGCGCAGGTGGCTCTAGGGGGCACTAGTATGTGTTCTGCACACCAAATAACTAAATATTTGGAATATCGGACATAGCTTGGTACCTAATTCTCATTCGGTCCCTCTCTTCTGACAGGAATTAAACTAGCATACAGGCCATAAAAACCTGAGCATTAAAATATGCCTACTAAAATAAATTTGTTGATAAAACTTCCCATGCACGAGACCAAAGTTGTGCTAAAATGAAGAGGCGCGTAATCGCACTCACTAGAACAATAGTTAATATTAACGATATTAAGTATAACCTAATTATATAAGTCCAATAACTGTGTCACAATTATCTAACGCCACAAAACCTCCCTGACGTCATTGGATGCATCATTAGTGCACAACAATATTTAGGCCTATTGTATTTAACATTTTGGTTATTCTGACAATTGACAAAATATTTAAATATATAAATGCTAATCTGAAACACAAAATGAAGCAAGTGATTGCCTATTTCTAACAATCTACACACAATATGCCCAGTTTCTATTAGTGCAAATGAGCTTATTGGGCTACTAAGGAATACATTGCTTTTTGTTGTTGGTGATAAACACACAGCCACTGTCAAGGCCCAGGTCACCATAATAACCAGGTCATCCTCTTCCACCAGCTATAACCTTCTCTGGAGCAGACAGTAAATGTAGGTACAGCAGTTATTGAATATTTAAAAAGGCATAGAGATGAAGCAATAAATGACAAAGTAAAGCTGGCGTGGCCATGCATTAATAACTAATGTGTAGCAGTGAGTTATAGGCTGTTCCCATTGTAATGAAAGTGTCAGTGCAAATCAGCAGTTGTCCGAGGATATTATTATTTATGCATAATTGATGCCAGAACCACAAGGAGCGTGTCTTAGCCAACAAATCCACACCACCTTGAGAACAAAGACATTGGTGTGAACAGAAGTAAAGGTCACTGTGAGAGTATGCCCCTAGGCTCAGATTTACACTGTGAGCAAGAGTCAAGATGGACGTTGTAAAACCTGCACACATGTATACAAGGCGACAGCAATAATACTAGCCCTGCCGTTATGGATCAATAGTAGACAGACCTAACAAGAGGTTGCCAGCAATAATTTAAATTTAGCATGCATTAATTATATATATAAAAAATAAAAATAAAAATAAAATAATTGCATATATTAAAAGCTGCCAAATAATTTTCAATCACTCATCCACACGCTTGCCTAATATTTTATGCTTATTCTATTTCATAGTAGGCAATTATAACGTATTTTTCTTTTTTTTCCCTATCCAAAACGCATATTACTATTATGGCTTACGTCACAGCAAGTAGCCAATGAGAATCCGCTACGAAGCGTCTGTGCCAACGTATACAGGAAGTGCTGTCACAATTCACGCCGATTTTCATTGAGCATTTTTATCCTTTATTTTTCATCGATAGTACACTGTTTATTCGTATCAGGCCATGCAAACGTGGAGTCTCGTAACCTTATGTGTTTTACTGGGACTTGTAGTGAGATGGGGCGTTTCTTTGAATCCTTATTCGGGTAAGAAATCAGTTGTTTTGAATATGATGCTAGTGCACGTTATACATTTCCTAACATGTCTACATACAAGCTTCAGAAGTGTTATATTTCACATTGTGCTGTAAATTAGGGAATTGCATCTGTCAGGTTACTAGACGCGAGAATTCTTTATTTGTATCGATAAAGTTTCAGTCACTAGACTTGTTATAACTAACATTTTTTTCCACAGGAGCTGCAAAACCTCCTATGTTTGGGGACTATGAAGCTCAAAGACACTGGCAAGAAGTGACTTACAACCTGCCTCTTCAGCAATGGTCAGTTGTAGACTTGCATACTTTATATATACTTAAGATGTATGTCTGTCTATTTGTTCCATTTGGTTAATTAATTCAGATTTTACTTTTTGTATTGAAATGCCATTATAAACCAATTTCCTACAGTAAAAATGCATTGCCTTTAGTCATTAAATGTATGGTAAATCTAAGGGTGATTCCAAGTTCATTAAAGCTTCCTTAAAAGCCCTATATTATATTATTGTGAGCTTTAATCCATGCTAAAATGTTGTTACCTCATCAAAAACATACCTGGACCCAGTGTTTTCTGTTTGAGAGAGTAACTCAGCTGAAATTTGCAGAATGTCTGTGTTAAACATGTGTGAATGAAACAAAACACAACTCCAGGAATGTTTGTGAAAAGGAAACAATATTATAACAAGAGATCAGGAAATAGTATAATATGGGCCCTTAATTAACACATTAATTATACCTTTGCTAATTGTTTATATTTTATATTTCTAGGTACTTCAACACATCTGACAATGACTTGAACTACTGGGGCCTCGACTATCCCCCTCTGACGGCATACCACAGCCTTATCTGTGCCTATGTGTAAGTGATATCAGGCTATCAACGCCATTTCTCTGATAATGTCGTAACTAGATATATTTTTATTTGGTGGGTTATTATGTATCTGTTTCTGTGTGCTTATACAGGGCCAAGGCTATAAACCCAGAATGGGTGGAGCTTCACAAATCCAGAGGTTACGAGAGTTATGCTCACAAGTTGTTTATGAGAGCAACAGGTTGTTACTACGGCGACACCACATAAAACTATTACCGTACAAATTATTATAATGAAATGTAATGTGTATTCTTTGGCAGTGCTGGTGGCAGACCTGTTGATTTACCTTCCTGCTGTAGTTTTATACTGTTTGTTCCTCAGTGATGGATCCTCAAGGAAAAAGGCGAGGATTTTAACTTTACATTATTTATGATTTCCTAAATATGAGTTTTAATATTTCTCAACTAATGCATGTCCAAACTTTTGACTGGTAGTCTATATAATGTTTTTTTCAGAATGAACAACAGAGACCAGTTATGTCATGTTAACATTTAAGAGAAATTTGTACTCTAATGCAATTAAGATCACTAGTGTGTATTTTATTTAATAATAGTTTATTATTAGTATAAAGCATAAGTAAATAATTTCACTTTTCTTTTTCATACAGGTTTCTGTTCTACTATCCACTCTGCTATACCCAGGCTTGATACTGATTGACTACGGACATTTCCAGTATCCTTTGAGTGACTTCACAGACTTACTAGTATAAGTGCATTCTCCATTTCCTTCCATGTTTTTAGACCTTAACTGTTGCAGGTACAATGGGGTTAGCCTGGGATTGGCCTTATGGGCTATTTTGACTCTGGGTCTGGGCTGGGATGCACTGGGCTCTATGTTCTTCTGCCTGGCTTTGAGCTACAAACAGATGGAGCTGTACCATGCACTGCCCTTCTTCTGCTACTTGCTGGGAAAGTGTTTTAAACAAGGATCAATAGGGCAAGGGTGAGTTTGTTTGTATGTTAGACTGTGTTCTAATGTCCTGGTTTGGTCCTGATTTGACTTGGTTTGGTCCTATTCTAGTCTTGGTTCAGTCTTGGTCTAATAGGGTTGTTATGATATTGAAAATCAAATACTAATCAATATTAAAGCTAGTACGGAAACTAGATACTTATTTGAGCAAGTATCAATACTGAAAAAGTCACTTTCAGAGGACAGAAATGAACCTTTCCTGAAAAGCTCAAAATCATTCTAAAGGTATATCAGGTCAAGTTTAACACCACATTGGCTAGTACATACCCATGGACCACTATGGAGCCTACCTGGTCAAATGAGGAATCACACAGATATAAGATCACATGGTAATATAAAAGAAAGTACTATTATAATCACATTAAAGTATGAGTGTTTTTATTATCACCATGGTATCAGAATCGATATTGAGTATCAAGTATCTTCCTTAGTATCGAAATCAAGTTTGAAATTTTAGTATTGTGACAACATTATGTTCTAGTCTAAGTTTAGTCCTGGTCTTGTCCCAGTTTAGTTCCAGTTTGGATGTGGTGTGTGTGTGCGTGCGCAAGTGGGAAAGCAGCCTTAAATCTTTCTTGTTTTCTATGTGACCAGGGGAACCTAAGAATTAAATAATTTAAAGATAGAGCAAATAATCAAATTTTTATCAAGATCAACATTCAGTCCTTTCTAATTGACAATGATGTGCTTGGGCTTTTTAAACTGAGAGGTCCACAGCCTTCTGCAAGTAAAAGGACGTTGTTTGGAGCACAACTCAGACTTTGGAGAAAATGTTTGGGCTACTTTTCTTTGTGTTAAATGGCTCTTGTTAAAATTTTTGTCTTATTTATGTTCAAAATACATTTGAAAATCAAGACCAATCTGTCAAGAGAAGTACATATATATTTTATACCACCTAGCCTTATTTTATATTTATAATTAAATGCAATGATAATTTAAAGATCCTATATTACACAAAAATGACTCCTTCTCAAAAACGTTCTAGGAGTTGTTTTGGTTCATTCACCCATGTTTGAGTAACTCTTTAAGTCTGTCTACTTCTCTAAAGCTCAAAATATCCTCTTCCACCTTGTGATGTCATGAAGCGGTAGTTTTCATTTTAACATCTACCTTTTACCTTAATTGCAATAGACATTGGCATATGGAGTTTAAAAACACAGTGGAGCATTTTTTGTGTTACCACATGGCATCAAAAGGTGGAACAGAGGTTTTTCTGTTTGAGAGAAGAACACAGTCTAAATATACAGGATTTGTGTGTTAAACTTGTGTGAATGAAACAAAACACAACACAGTAAAGTTTTTGATGACGAAATAACAATGTAACAGATTAGAAAATTACATAACATGGTCCCTTTAATGAGCATGATGACATTGTTAGTTATGTTATGACTTCTCAATGTTGAAATACTACTATTCTGTTTACATCTGCCTCATTAGTTACACTATCATGACTTCAACCTTGGTTCATGTCAGTCCTTGTTTAGTTTAAAATATTGTTTAAGATTGTTGGAGCGTCATTAGATATTGTCCCTTAATCGGGTGTTAAATTGTTCCTGCTCAACTATCATTATATCAACCTATAAAAATCCATTATGCGCCAGCCATGGTGTTTTGTCACTCTGCACTTAAATGCCAAACGAATGCTCCCCCTCAATATGTAATGTTAGGCTATAAGAAGCCCCTGTCCTCAGTCAAGCCCCAGAATGACTGAGGTAATCAAATTGGCTGCTGTTACCGGTGTGTCCAATGTCTGTTTATCTAGTAACAATGTACCAAGGGCATTTAGTAGCAAATGCAGAGCTGGATTAGATGAGCCCGGGGAGATATGCCCAGATGACACTCTCGCATTGGCCAAACTCCTCAGCTATGCCTGTGTGTGCAACTTCACCAGCGGCTTCACAGTTACAGCTGACAAGATACCCTGGCCCACACTAAAGACTTTCAGCTGATGCATTGCTTTCACTGCATTCCTCACCACAAGGGTCAGACCCCCAAATTTAGAACAAGCAGACAACTCATTATTAACTATTTGAAGGAGACATATTATGCCAAATCAACTTTCATGAGCTTTTGATCAGGTTATAATAGTGTTCTTTCATTATTACTGCAATCAAAGTTGTATTTTCATTGATTTATGCATGTTTGAGTAATCCTGTATTGTTCTGCATTCAAGGCTTGAGTGCTCAGAAAATGACTGTTTTCAAATACGCCCTACCCACAACTCAAATAATAATAATACTAATAAAAAAAAACATGTAGCCATTTTTCAAAACTACAATCTCTTGCTTTCTACTGTAAACTGGCACTATCAACTCTACAGTTTAGAGTAGCAAGTCAGTGGGCGTGTTTCTATTATTACCTGGTTTGGATCAGTATTGTGGCTTACAATTAATGCTCTACTGCTCATATTATTTTTCAATACAGGTTTGTGAAGTTGTAGTGTACTGTTTTGTCTCCTGCTTTTGTATATTTATGGAAATTTGCTGTACAGGAGCATGTATTTCTACACAGGCTTGTTGGTTGAGTCTTAGACAGGATCATACTGCTAACTGTAAGGACTAGGATGAATAGGGCCTGGGAGAGTTCGCAAGATTACTCAAACATGCATAGATGACATGTAAACCCACTTCAGGCATGCTTTTGATGAGGGAAGGTCATACAAAAGCTCCACAAAGTCAATTTAGCATGATACCCCCACTTTCAGATACTTGGTGGCCATAGATGTATTTTAGGAAGCATTATTAGAGTTCTAACCTTTGTTTCTTTATATAGATTCTTCCTGCTGGTGAGAATTGGCTTTGCTGTGCTGCTGACCCTTGCTCTGTGTTGGCTGCCCTTCTTGTCTGACCCCAGCCAGGCCTTACAGGTGCTCAGGAGGATCTTTCCCGTGGCTCGTGGTCTGTTTGAGGTACAGTCTTTTAGATAGAGAGGTCATTCCCACCACCACATCAGAGACACCAAGCTCACGGCACCGTCTCGCCAAAAAACTGTACTCTGATCATTTCGAAAGGCTTTTGAAATGTTATTTTAGGATCAAAAGGGTAAGGATAACATCAACAAAAACCTGTGAATCATAAACAGGGATAAACAGTACGGAGCTGGGATGGGACAAGATCTCGTGCCATAAGATCTTGCAAGATAAAATTGCCACAAGATTGTGCATGCATGAGAAAAATTATATTATGAGATTTTTTTTCCCATGCTCAAATAAAAAATAGGGTTAAGAGCTGGTGATTTACACCTCTTGAGAATCTGTAGTTCCAAAAAGCAGTGCAACAATAACAGCAAAATATATTAAAGCAAACCTATTATGCAATATTGACTTTTCAGAACTCTTAACCATGTTATGGTAGTTTCCCTTTCTCATTTACCTGATTGAAGCTGTATTTGGAATGATTTGTGATTTGTACTTCTACATTGTCCAATTTTATTTACTTAAACAATGATGCACGTAATTCATCAAAACATTATTTTGGTACAAATGAAAAAGAAATCTGCTACTCGCTAGTGTGAGCTGCTGCTATCCATCAGAGTTGCCGGCCTTTGTTGAGATGACGTTTACAATCAGCTCCTGTTGGGCACCACAGTTTTCTAACGTGGAAATCAGTGGACTTGTTTCTTTAAACAAGTTGTTTCAGATGAATATTGCAATTTAAAATGTGCAAATTCTAACATAATGATCCACAGGTATGAATTATAACTATATAGCAGACACAAACACAATATGTATTCTTTAAATAAAATAAATAAACTTGAACTTAAACTTAAATAAACTTTTTAAACTGTTACTTACTTGATAAATCTCACTATATCTCGTTTTCATGGACCCAATCTCATGTCTTCTTATCTTGTGGAAAATCTGTCTCATGCCATCCCTAGTACACTTATGCACAAATCATACTTGACCTTAAAATTAGGCAAAAATTATGATTCAATGTGACTGTTATTATACTAATTAAATGTCCTTGAGAGAGAAAATACCAGAACATAAAATTAAGTTAAATACGTATGGAATTTTGATGCAATAAGCCTTAAGCATTTTGTATTGATAATATATTGCAAAACATGTATTTTATTTTATGCGATGATGTCATGCTTCTTAGTCATCCAAAGCATGTACCGCATTGGGTTTCTGTGTGGTCTTGACATTTGTAACTCGGGGGCTGCTCTATTGGCGTTAGGAACAGTCTCTTCTCCGTTCAAAGAGTAAACATCCATCAAAACTCAAGTGCAAAATCAACACTGTCCTCAGGATATGATTAGATCACATCATCTTTAATACGCACTCTGTCTGGTGCGTGACCAAAAGTATGACTCTAAAAGCCCCTCCTTCAAACAGCAGCTTTATTTTCTTAGTGTGGTGATATTTTTGTTGTGAGATGCATCAGTGAGATAAAACAGAGTAAAGTAGAAAGAGGCTTTTTATTAACATGGGAATGTACGGCCTGGCTCTATTTCAATAATGATTATGATCAGAAACATTTATCTTGAAATAATATGCTCTCTGAGAAGTGGGAAATTCTGTGTTGTGAGTTTAAAAGTGCATTCTGTATTTTTTTCCATGGTGATGCTGTTGCTTTGCCTGGAATGTTCTATAGTGTGGCATTAAACTCTTAATGCGAACAAGCAGCTGATGCCCTCAAGATAAGTTACAGGTCAGATCTGTGGAGAGATGACCCAGCTCACAATAGGAGAGCATGTTTTTTGAATGTATTCTTGAGCCATATTTACACGTGTAACTGAATGAATGCAGATTTAAGGCCACATAGTGTAACCATAAACTGTATATATAAATTGTCAGCACGCTACCAGCCACATTCCAAATAGGAAGTGAGCATGGGCTCATTTCTGGCTCCATTGACTCTGGCTGCAATTGACTTAAAAAAAAATTATCACCCCTCTCTCTAACTGCTGCTGTGAGCCTCGTCATTTTGGTCTTAAAATGTCCATACTAACCTGCTCTATATGATCATGGTGTTTTTATTGTGCTGTTTTGTCTGTAAATAATTTTCAGTTTCTAATATGGAACTCCAAATTCACCCCTCTAACTGCTAGCCGTGTGAGCTTCATTTGACTGGAGCTTATTGGAACAGCTATGGGTGACATCATGCTCACTTGGTCCACTTCTTTGTACAGTCTATGCTTGTAACTGAATAAATGCAATACAGATTTAAACCAAACATTGTAACATACCAGGAAAAGCAATAACATCATAACCCCATGGAGACAAGCAGCTGCCAGACCTTCTAACAAATCTGTATTTTCAACATATAACTCAATACCTTTTTTAAAATCAGTCCTGACCTTGTTTCCCAAAGCCAGCTTCAAACCCAGCAGGGCGCACATCCTTTCACTGCTTATCCAGTTGGACATGGAGGATCAAAGAAAACAGAGAAATAAAATGGAGAAAGGTCAGGAGATCAGGTTCACTCTATCTCTGGGAGGTGTTGGGTTTTTGGGCTGGTGTAGGATATAGATAAATCCAACTAATTTATGACCTGAGTATTTTCAGCGCTTCATTGCACGGCCATGTTCTTGCCATATGGACGGATGACCATATACTTGAAACATATCAGAGCACATCCGACAACTGCTGTGTATAACCGGCTACCACTTTGACACAAGCATGTACTGTGTGTTTGCCACTTACCACGGGGCACATGCGCACATCTTAATGCCCCTAGCTGTCAGTCACTGCCCTTGATAGAAAGCAGCTTAGTGCAATTTGATATTAATTAAAAGCTGTGCGACGCGAGGAAAGAACTTCAGACACTTTTGCAGGCCCCAGCGTTGAAAGCTCCCATGTCAAGGAGGCGCTGGTAATGTAACTGTGCCGGTTTCTGTCTGTGGACTTGCGACAGACGAATGGGATGCCTAGGCTGGCCCGGGCTCTCATATCTGAAACTCTGTAACACATCTTAGCCCATTCCCCAGAGGCAGTGCCCTAGTGGATGTGAGAAGTAATTGGAAATCGCTACGAGGGAAGACTGGCTATGTGGCAGACGCTTTATTTGTTCAGCTAAATGATGCAAACACAAGACAGAGGGCGCGAGGGACACTGTAGCCGCCTATGACGACAGCACTGGACCAGCTGGTATGAAAGGGTGCACGTAAGCAGATAATTTGGACAAGGGGACAAGGGTGAAAATGGGCTGGTGCTGTGGCGGATGGGCCGGTGACTGGTGGTCCGATCTGTTAGTGGAAGGAAACAGTTGTAAGTTTACCCACCGGGCTGCATTCTGGGGTCTCACGTTGCCGCCTGCTCACAAAAATGGCACCAAATACATCTCGCTGTGAAATTCCATGCGAGCTCATTGGATAGGTAGTCTCTGGCCCCCCTCGCTTTGCTTACCAGGACCCCCCCCCCCTTACGTACATGTGTTGCCTTTAGCCTACGTCCAGGAACATTCCCGTAGTGGTTATTTGGAGCAGGCAAAGGGAAAGGAAAAGGGAGAAGGTAGGATAGAGCTAAAGGCTGAGACAACACAGGGCTGAGTGCTGAGTAGGCTGCCTCTATAGGATCCACACAGCTGTGCAAGGGGCAGCTGTAAAACACTTAAGGAAGGACTGTTAGAAATAGGCTAAAATATTAGAAAAAAATAAAGCTACAGAAGTATTACTATATTTTAATTTAACTGGACAATATTAACAGTAGGTCAGAAAAGTGATTCAAAATATAGTTAAAGGAGCACTGTGTAACTTTCTGGTTGGGGGTTTATCACCTGCTTGTTTCTATGGATATGTCATTGCTCTGTCTGGAATGTTCAACAGTATGACATTAAACAGCTCTACCTTATATTTCTTCAATTACAGGTGTTTTTATAGCTCAAAAATACCTAGAAAAAAATTTAATTGTTATTTTGAGTGGGGTGGCCTCTCCACAGATTTCAGTTGTAACTTGGTCTGGTTTGGTCTCCATAAAGATAGAAAGGTTTAATACCATACGGTGGAACATCCTGACAAAGCAATAGCATCTCCATGGGCTGTGCTGTTTCTCAAATTTTAATCGAGAGTGAGATTCGGTCATTTCTAATTGTCAATGATACACTTGGGTCTTTTTCATCGAAAGGTCCACAGCAAATGTCTGTGAAAGCATGTGATTTGGAGCACAATCTAGTCTTTTAAGAATATATTTGACTAGTTTTGACTATTTGACTATTATAGTCTTGTTTATGTCTTGTTTATGTTCAGGAAATTAAGATTGTAAAGATTTAATTTGCTTTTAATAAGACAAAATGAATTTTATCAAACGTTTTGATCGATCATGATAAAGAAAGGAAAAAATTAAATCCAAAATTAAATCCAACAATCCTACCCAAATTGCGTTCTTATCAAATATACATTTGGAAGTCTTGGAGTGATCTCTGTTTTGACATTGCCTTATGTCAAACGGCCCATGTATTTTTTGTATTGGTTTCCACTTTAAAGGTGACCTATGTAACATTTCTGGTTGAGGGTCTGCTACCTGCTTGTCTCTATGGAGATATTACTGTTTTGCCTTAATTATTCCACAGTATAGAAATAAACTTGATAATCACAATGGAAACAGGTTAATGGTCAGATGTATGGAGAAGCAAGACTGCACATAAGAATAAATGTTTTTTAAGGTATTTTTGAGCTGTAACACACATGTAATTGAACAAATGCATGGCAGATATGTCTAATGCCTTACTGTGGAACATTCCAGGCAAAGAAATAACATCTCCATGGAGACAAGCAAGCAGCAGACCCTCCATCTTAGAAGTTACACAGTAGACCTTTAAAATGAATAATTGACAGTCCATCCTTTTCTAGAGACTCAGCTAAAGTTAGCTTTAAATCTAGTTTTACTACATCTTCGAAGTCAACAACAAACCCACATTAAAGATTTAAGGTCTGTAAGTAATTTCGAAATGTGTAAGGAAAGAAGTTTGCGAAACTCTCATCACGTGTAACATTGTCTATTTGGTATATGCTGGACAGTGATGGCATTGGGGCCAAACATCATCTGATCCTAGTACAAATGTCCAAGCTCCTAAATCAGCCAGACGCTGCAGTAACCTCCTCATCTGAGCTCACACAGGCATCGGCATTCAAACTATCATTCAGAGATCTGGTACTTCACATTTTCAGGGTTATTTACAACTATAATATAAAAGCTACATAAATTACATTGTGAGAACACTGTTTATTGCAATACAAATTATGAAGATGACAGTGAATAATTAACAGTCTTGATGTGAGCTTCACTAAGAGAGGGTGATTTATTGTCCCCAGCTGCTTAATAAGATGTACTCTGTGGTTGGTCACTATGTGCTAAGTGTGCAGAGACATCTCTGGCCTGACACTTGACCTTCTGTCCCCAAGTTTACAAATAAGTCTTGTGCTTTTTCTGACACCACAGTAAATTTGTGACGCTGGTGGATCTAAGATTTCATATAATAAAACTGCCAGTAAAGTACCAAAATAGTTGTGTTGTAGAAACAATTGGGAACACAGCCACAGTGAATTAATTTGAAAACATTTCATTATGAAAGAAAACACATTTTAGGTAGCACATTTTGTAATGTTCCTTATCTGCATGCTTTTCTAGACACTGTAGATCTACATTTTGAAACCTAAAATCCACTATCCTTTGGTATGCTGATGGTAATGGATTTTGAGGCCACAGTTGCCCTGGGGCAGACTGTCGAAAGTGTAACATGCCCCTTCTCACTGACAAACCACAAAGCAGACAGCAGTCAACTTTATTGTATTTTAAGGTATTAAGCCAGACTACCTTCTGTTATGGTCAGTTCTACACAGCACAAGGAGTATACTGGCAAATGAATTATTTAGTCATATTTTAAAACAACACTGTGTAATTTTAATAATAACTAGAAAAGCACTCAGAGAGCGCAGACCTCCGCCAAGGACTACCCCCATTTTTTACATAAATTGCGATAAAATCAGTCTTCTGGATCAGATCCGGATCAGCCTTTGGAATATGAAAGAGGATCCCATTGTTCATCCCTGAGTCAAATTTCATGGAGTTTGGTCAATAATTAACCGAGATATTGAGAAACAAAATTTTTGGCCCCATTTACCACAATGTTCAAAATCAGTCCATAACTTTTTGAGTTATGTTGCTAACAGACAAACAAACAAACAAACAAACAGACAAACGCTGGCAAAAACATAACCTCCTTGGCGGAGGTAATTATAGTGCATTAATTTTATATAGTGCTTTTTGGACACTCACAGCATTATTCATTCACTCCACCTGGTGATGGTAAGCTACCATTGTAGCCATAGACGGACGGCCCCTCCAACCACCACACTCACTCACACACACACCACTTTCATACTAAGCAATGTGGGTGAAGTACACTGAAAAAAAAAGGTTGCTGGATTTGCATAAAAAAGTTATGGAAAGCGGTTGCATGCAATAAAATAATGTTTAGGCTTTGAAACTTATTTCGATCCCCTCTACACATATTTTTCTCAGAACATGAATGTCACTTTTTCATGTTGATGAAATTTGATCAAATCATGCTGAATATGCATATTTATCTTATGTTACCTTATCATGAAATGCATAAGTTTGTATAATTTAATTTAATTGATCTAATTCTGTAACATAATACAAAAACAGTCTTTAGTTTTCCACAGTTCTGTATTGTCTTAAACAGAATCAAACACACAAAGAGCACAAGTACAGAGGCACAGTTTGGAGCTGGACAGTGTGAAGATTTATTCCAGTGAAGACGCTCTGGTCTCTGCCTGTGGACACACGAATAACACATGATGATTACATTATGATGATCTACTCTGTTGTACATGTTTAAATACATTCAAAGTACCTATAATGGACCAGAACAGAATCACAAGAACATTAGAACTGTATCTGCAGAAACAAAACTCACTGTGTGCTACTTTTCTTCCTCTAAATGCATTAACAGGAAGGGCATCTGGTATAAAGTCTCCTAGTGCCACATCACCCTGTAGAAACATGATAACAGTTTCAATAGGAAGTTCATTTTGAAAAAATTGTTTAGAATCATTTTAGTTGAGTTACTTACTTTGTTCATCTGTGGTCTGTGGTTTGTTGGTTCTCAGATATCTTCCTTTTTTCTGAAACATCAGCTGTAACATTCATGAACTTCCCCACAGCTCCAGCAGAGCTCTGGACGTAACTCTGTGGTTTGCAGACGACTCTGGAACAAACACATTCAAATCTGAGTACAACTGTCACACTCTTGTAGATGGACAGTCAAATACAATTTGTTTCATGGAAACAGTCCTTACATTAACTTTAATTTCAAATAAAACACCACAAACATGTTTTAACAATGATGACATTCTAGTCCAGAGAAACATATAAAATCTTTGAAAAGTATCACCTCCAGATCAGCTCTCATAATCCTCCTGCTCCACACTATGTGTCCTCTGCTCCTGTAACTGTCCCGTGTCCTGCTACATTTGAATTTTCCCTCCAAAAGTTTTGTGGAGGAGAATTCCAGAGGGAGGAGCCTCACCAGAGATTAGAATAAAGTCATGTTTCCTCAACCTGATTAAAACCTGCAGGTCTCACATCGGCCACAATCAAGCAACCTTTGTAAGATTTAAACATGCTGGACAGAGAAACGTAAAAAAGTCATTATTGTTTAGGTTTATGCCATACTGTTGAATATTATAGCCAAAAGAACATCATTACCCATAAAATCATGCTTTTTATTGTAGTCTTTGTTTGTGCTAAAAAAAAGTTACAAAATTAGGGTTTAAGGACAATATAATATGATGCATGTATAGCAAGTGCTGTAAAATGTATGTAACCCCAAAAAAGAAAAGATACAGAAAATGATGCTTTATATAATGACACAAGATATCATATTTTGTCTGGTTATTGTTTGCTTGGCATTTGCAATTGTCATTCTTGTGTGTGTACAGGATAAAGTGGCCAACGCATGGTGCAGCCTGAACGTCGTGATAAAGATCCGGAGCATTATGTCCAGTGACTCCCAGCTGTACCTCAGGTAATCCCTCTCTCCTCCTCTCTGTCCTCCCCTCACCTCCTCTCTTCTCCTGTCTCTTCTTCTCCTCTCTCCTCCTCTTTCCTCTTCTGAATGTGATTCTTGTATTAGTTTGACAGTTCATTCTTCAGTCTTTTAAAATGTAACCAATATCCTATAATTAAGACATAAATTGCCAAAACTAATCACAATACTTAACAGAAAATCTCAATTAGATATTTTTCTCAAATCTTTCCAGACTATTTCTTGGGAAAGAGAAAGTGGCCCAGGGGGATACTGTGTAATCCAGGCCAGGGAAACAACAGCATAGCTTTAGGAAGAGTCTTGTGAGGGATTTTCTGATCATAAAGTCACGCCTGTTTTTGGAATTAAGTTGTCACAAGTCTCCTAAGGAAGTCTGAGCACGTGCCACACCAAAATGTTTGAAAATACTGAAAAATATTTCAAACTATCTAGTTTTTCTCCATGAAGATGTTATTGCTTTGTCTGGAATGTTTCACAGTATGGCATTAAACCTTTCTATCATCATGAAGACCAAACCAGACCAAGTTACAGGTCAGATCTGTGGAGTGGCAACCCTGCTCACAGTCAGAATGCCTGTTTTTGTATGTATTTTGAGCTATAAAACACATAATTCAATAAATGTAAGGTAGAGCTGTTTAATGGCATACTATGGAACATTGCAGGCAGCAATATCCATAGAAACAAGCAGGTGACAGACCACCAGCTAAAAAGTCAGCAAAATTAGGTTCCAGAGAAATGCAACTCATAAAAACAATAGATAAAAAATTATAAAATCAATAGATAAAACCAGCACTAAAAATAATCTAATTGATAAAACAAATAAATATATTAACAAAATAAAATAATAGTAAATAAAAGACAGTTAGCAGAAAGTTAGCTTGCCATTACTTCTATACCTTATTGAGTCTAGACATATTCCCATTGTGACCATTTAATTAGAAACATTTAGAACTGAAGTGCACTAAACTGAGTTTAAAATGTCCCTTGCTATAATTTTGACATTTGATAATTATCCCATTAAAGCAGTGATAGGCGACATCCAACTTGAATTGCGCACATTAGCTGTGAATCCTTAGCATACTAGCCAATTATACTAGTGGGAAGTTCTTATTTTGATTTAAAGCTGTTGATAAAGGACTTTAGGGCTAGTGGTATCATGGAGGGGCCTGCTTAAATGACTCACTCTAAATATAGGCGCACAGTGTTCACAGGATTGACACGTTTCTGCCAGACTGCTAAGACCAGGGATAACACTGGACTCCTCTGACTGCAGTGTATTTCAGATAATTGTAAAACATTCTCACATTTTTGTAACAGACTGTAAGTTGTGTTCAAATTTGACGATGTTATAATTTCAGATGGAGGGCAGGAAGATGTCTATTCATGAGTTTCAGAGTGATGAAAATCTTTTACCATTGTGATAGCAATTAACCATTCAAAGTAAAATATTATGTTTTCAATGGTCATCAAATATCACATATAAACAGGATGTTGAAAGCTCTCTCTCTCTCTCTCTCTCTCTCTCTCTCTCTCTCTCTCTCTCTCTCTCTCTCTCTCTCTCTCTCTCTCTCTCTCTCTCTCTCTATATATATATTATATATATCTATATCTATATCTATATCTATATCTATATATCTATATCTATATATATATATATATATCTATATATATCTATATCTATATCTATATCTATATATCTATATATATATATATATATATAAATATAAATATAAATATAAAATAAATAAAACTCTATGGGAGATTCACTGTTTTTGAAAGAAATATCCAAACTTATGATCCACAAATGAATCTTATTTGTTAGAGAATCTTACTATATTAATTTTATAGCTTAAAGGTTGTATAGAGGATTTTCCAAGGAACGAGAAATCCAGCAACTGTTTGTCCTTTTTCAAATGTTGCGCATGCGTGAAACCACCCCCCCTCCCCTACAGCTCCCTACGTAGAAACGCCTCCTCCCGCCTCCTCCTTACGCCAGAAACAGGTTTGTTTACAGCCGGTGAGCTGCACATGACTTGTAAACAACTAACTACAGTGTTGGTTAGGCAAGGCGGAGAAGTGAGGAGCGGGGGGAGCGGGTGCGCGGACGAGAAGTGAGGAGCAGGGAGAAGAGCGGAGCAGGGAGCAGGGAGAGGAGAGAGGAGAGGGGAGCGGTGCGCGGAGATTCCGTGCCCGGAGAAGTGAGGAGCAGGGGGAAGAGCGGATCGGGCAGTGGGGAGAGGAGCAGGAAAGGGATGCAGAGAAGGTTGCGCGGAGATTCCTTGTGAATGAACTAGCTACAACACGCAGCAGCAAGCGGACTCTATCTATGCCTTGAAAATTACGTTTTCAGACATAGGATATCGCTTTCGTGTCCCGAAAAACATTTGTCTAGCTCTTGGAAATAAAGTACGTTTTCATAATAAGCAGAAGTGACCTGTCCAGGAGTAATTTGGCGACCAATGCGTCAGTCTTTAGACCCTGCGTCTGCTTCAGTTGCGCCATCGCTGGAATGAATCTTCAAGAATCACCTTAGTTTGGCTTTGCTGCTTTTCCCCTTGTCTTCTTCTTTCAGCAATCTCAAAAACGGACTTTCTTTTGAGGCTAACTGCTCCTGGATTCTTGTCTGCCATTGCAACAAACTTTGTGCTAACTGCGAGGAAGATATAGGTAAAAAAAAGCCACTAAGAACTGTTGCGTTGGTGGAGTAAACAGCGTCTGTGCGGCTTGCGTCTGTGGACTGCGTGACAGGCGTACGTAAACCACGTACCGGCGGCGCGCAGGCAAGTCAGTTACGCTAGAAACGTAGGGAGTTTGATTGACAGCCTGTCAGCTAACAGATAACGAGGCAATGTCGTTATCTATTGGCAAATGTTTAGCCCCACCACGTCCAGAGTTGATGAATTTTTATTCTCTTTTTTTTAGTCATCATAATTACAAGGCTACTGCATCTCTATAATGCTATCATTGACAACTTGAAACAAAAAAAAATCCTCCATACAACCTTTAAAGTCTTTTCAGCTGACAACAATCACATCTTTGGAGTTATATACTTTATGATATATATATACTACTTTATGAAAAAAGTTTTTCTTTTTCTGTGCTTATGCTGACAGAGGAGATGTTATACTGTGCAACAGTTTTTGTTCCATGTGGGTAGGCCCAGAAATAATAAATAATAAATAAATAATAAATAAGATATTAGCATAAACCAGGTCAATAAACATGCATTTTGACAGTTGAACAGCCAGTTCTACCCATAGACAGCATAAAGAAGTGGACTAAGGGAGTGTGATGTCACCCATAGCATTCGGTTCCAGTCAAATGAAGCTCACAAGGCCAGCAATTTTAGGAGCGAATTTGGAGCCGAGTTCCATATTAGAAATAGGAATTTATTTACTGAAAAATACTGAAATAAAAACACCAGGATCATGTAGAATGGGTTAATACAAAGATTTTAAGACCAAAATTACAAGGCTCTTTTTAGAGCCAGACTTGATGGAGCGCCCCTCCATGGTCACTTCCTTTGTGGAACATACTGGCTAGCAGGTTAGCTATTTCCATTTATATATACAGTCTATGATCGTACCTAACCAGAACTCTGACCTTCCCCCCATCTCAGTTTTAAACTATAGGCATTATCTAACTGTGATTTCCAGCACACGTTTCTGAGCTGCTGTTGAAAGTAATCAATGCTCTTCCGGATTACTAAGCCCTGCCCAACCCACAAAACTCCTATTACTGCTCAGTACATGTGCTAACTCTACACTATCAGATTTTCAATACAGCTGTCCCACTCTTCGGCGTACAAATTGCAGGACAAACACATAGTTGGCCTCTAGCTCAGTGCCTGACCCCCCAGTGCACATACACTCATGGGTGCTGACACATTGTAAGGCTCTTCCGGTGTCTGTGGCCTGAGCAGGTGACAATTGAAGGGTTAAAATAATTCAGCTGAACCTCAACTCAGCCATAGGATTTGGACATTCTTCTCCCAGGCTAGCTACATTCATAACAAAATAGCTCACTTACAGTAGTGGTGGAACGTAATAAAATAACTTAGACAAACTTTATGGATCCACAAGGGAAATTATTTGGACTGAATAGCTCACACGTCACAATATATTATAATAACAAAGAGCTAGATATACATATAAATAGTAATAATAAATTCTAATAAGTAGCAAAAATAGCAAGAGACTGTCAAATAAGGCATAATTATATTAACGTATATGTTTAAGTAAAAATAAAATATAGAATCTAGTAACTCAAATGTTTCTCAGCTATTTACAAGAGGTCGTAAGGAAAAACAGTGCGAAGATGAAATAATGGATGACAGGACATAGGGTTATCTGTTACGTAAGGGTGAGTTGTTATACAATTGGATGGAGTATTCTATGAATGTTGTTAAAGTGGATACTTTATACTTTTATTTTACTCAATTTGAGAACAGGTATACTGTACTTTAATATTTTTACTTAAGTAGACTTTTTCATGTGACATTTTTACTTGAGTATTTCTTTGATCCTGTAGCTTTACTTTTACTTAAGTAACAAAATTTTATACTTCTTCCACCGCTGCTCCACAGTTAAATGAGGTCTATTTGACTGTGAATAAATCTTGGTTTAATATGCGAGTGTGTTTGCTCAGTCAAAACAACAGAAAGAAGTGTTTGTAAGCTTGAAAATATGTGCATAAGGCCCTCATTCATATTTCCTCCTAATTGATTTTCTGCTCCACATGTCATCTGCTGTGTAATAATCTTTTATGCTGCGCTAACTTAATTTCCCATTGGGGATTTTTCGAACTCTAGCTTATGACAGTGGTGAATGGAGGTAATTTAATTTCTATTACTATTGTCGTTTCATAGTTTGGCTTGCACGGTCCTGGCAGTTCTACCGTCTTCACTGAGACTTTTGACCAAACCCACATTTTGGCAGTTCAAACTGGCCTTGGTAAGTATTAAAGGTTTGTTATTATGCAAAATGGTCTCTTTTGAGCTTGAAGACATATTATGATGTTGTTACTGCATCAAAAACATACCTGGAGTTGAGTTGTGTTTTGTTTCATTCACACATGTTTGAATAATCTTTTATTATTATTCTGTCTAGATCTGAAAATGCTCTGTTTCACCCCAGTTTTCAAGTTAACTGCTACCTTTTACCTTTATTAGTAGAGATGGGAAATTCTGGGGCTAAAATTATCCAAATGATTCTAATGTAGATGTATGGAGTTCAAAAAAACAGTGGAGCACTCCCTGTATTACCGCATGACATCACAAAGTGCACAAAGTGTTTTCTGTTTGAGGAAAGGACAGAATTTGTGTGTTTAAACATGTTTGAATGAAACAAAACACATCTCCAGGTATGTTTATGATGAGGAAAACAACAGAACAGGAAAAAAGCCCAATCTTGTCCCTTTTGGTCACATGAGCCTTTATCAATGTATGTAACTTGCAAGTAGTTGGTGCAACTGAAATAACAATATATTATGTATCCCGTTTTAGGTAAATTCCTCACTGGCATTTTTCCTGTTTTCTTACCAAGTCCATGAAAAGTCCATCCTCTTGGCCTCTTTGTAAGTACAGTATTAGTGTTGTTAGTGTTGTAATTTAACAAATGACAATATAAACACAAATCTGGGATGTGATTTGGTTTGGATTGGTTGTATGATCTGGCTACTCAAAGTTAGGAGCTCATTCAGTAATCATGAATAAATCAATATTACAACTATTTTCCATCAGATCAGCATTTTGTGTGTGTTGTTTAGAAAAGATCCTGCATGTATTATCCTTTAATGTAAAGTATAGTTTGTTATGTATATTATGTGTACTTTGTTAAACTTACATCTTACTAACGTTACTAACGTGCTGAATTCATCTCTGTTTATGTAATAATGCTAATGTGGTCAAGTGGGTGAGATAGTTATCTGTTATCTGCAGTGGTAGCAAAAGATATGATGTAAGTTACATATGACGTCTGGGGGTTAGCTTTCAGGCCTAATCTCATTTATTAATCTAGATGAGGGTAGATTGTTGCTTTATTAACTATTGAGTTCTATCTCCCACCTGTTCCTGTGAATCTATCAGTAATGCATGTCCAGGGATTAAGAGCGAGCGTCAGGCAGCAGCTCGGGGCCTTGTTTGCGCAGGATCAATTATTGGGCTGTAACAGGATCGCCAATGGCACAGGCTGTAATTATGGGCTCAGGGACCCCCGGAAAGTGCCCCCCTTAGACTGGAGCGTAGTGAGGACTGTCCCAGAAGCACTTGGACAGGTTACTCAATCACAATCTCTCCAAAAGTTATGATGCTGGGTAAAATGAGAACAGAAGTAATATTGTTTAGAAACATCATATTTTATGGATGTTACTGCATACACATATTTAAGGATGAAATAACCATTTTCATAACAAACATTACTTCAAACGGCTGATTGGAATAAAAACATAAGACAGAGTGTATAATGTTATCTATGAACATAATTAATTACTGCATACATAATTGTATTTTCTTATCTAATCCATTCTAAATGTATTCATAAAGCGCTTTAATAATAACAACAAGGAGAATCAAAATGTTGTATACAACCAAGTTACAATATAAAACAGTGAAATGAGGAGGCACAAAAAGGCACAGTAGACGAACAACCTATTCTTGAATAAAAGTTAAAGAGAAAAAGTTTTAAATTATACTTAAAGGCATTCAGTTTCAACATTTTTTCACTTTGCACTACTTCATTACATGCTACAAAGGAAAAGTATACACCATCAAATTTCAAATTTTGGCCATAGTATGTATAAGGTACTTCTGTTGCTACAGTTAGACTAACAGAAGCAGTGCTAACAATCTGCACCACAACACATAACTCACACACAACATCCAGTGTTTCCCATAGATTTTGATCAGACTATGATGGCACAAATACTCTCTAGATTAATCATTTTCTGTCATACAATTTGTGGAGTTTAAATGTCACTTACTGCGTGTATTTCATCTTTAAGCAGTCTTTTTGAATAGTGCAGTTACTTTGAAATGTGAATGACAATACAGGGCAACAAAATGAGATTTTGTTATGCCACTCTAGTCCTTGTTCTTTTAGACTATGGGGGAGAATTTGTGGGGCCACCATAGTCTCTTCTATCTATGTCTTTCTCCAGGACACCATAGCATGCACAGGGTCGAAGCTACGGTTGAACTGAGCTTAAAACATTAGCTTTCCTTAAAAACCTGATAAAGAACAGAGTAAATGATACAATGAGGACTCTGCTGTCAGTCGACCATCAATAATCACATAATATGGATGTCCTATTTGCTCCGTAAGCTTTAATATTATAAACGCATTACAGTTATATTCAGCACTGACCTTGCATGGCTCTTCTTCCTGTCATAGATCAAATTGTATTTAATGGTACTTAATACGTGTCCTTAGTAAAGTTTATATTAATCTTCCACATTTTCTTTCAGGCCGGCCTGCCTTCTACTGAGTGACCTTCCGCTCATCGCCATCTGGTTACTGCAGACGTCAACATTCAGGTAGAGACATTTCAGGAGAAAATGTTACCATAGAAACACATTTACATAATTATATCAAAGAGAGATGTAAAACTACTGGATTATAGATGTCAACTAGATACAAAAAGATATCACTACTTTCCACAGGAATAAATCGTCAGTTGTCACATACCTTAAATATTTTTTAAAGGTGCACTACAGATCTGACTGTAACTCGACCTGGCGTGTCACCTACTTGTCTCTATGGGGACAGATAATTTTAATGCCACATTGTGGAACATTCTATAGGCAGAAAAATGGCACCTCAGTGGAGACAAGGTGATTGCATAATCTCATCCTGAAAAGTTACATAATGCATTTTAAAGTTTGTCCATGCATTGTCATATTAATGGGAGAGAGAAAGATAATGTATTTTCAACATTTTCACTGCGCTTCTCAGTTGCCTGTGTGTCTCAGTCAAAGGACTGGTCAGGGAGGGTGGGCACGTCTGTGTCAGAGCAGTTTGAGGAAAGGAAGAGCCAAAAGTCTCTTCTCAGTGTCATCAGCATCACAGGAGCCTCCAGGGCGAGTCAGGAACACAACAAGAAAGGCCTCACTCTTATTCCGCTCTGTCGTTGCAGTTGGTGTTGAAATGGTTCATTCACTCAAAGCATTTCCTCTGGATTACCTTCTGTCACATTTGTGGTGTAAAAAGCCTGTAGCATCTCAATGTCTCTAGCTTAGCTAGCCTCTTGCACTGTCTCCATGGATACAGGGAAAACAAACACAATCCAACAGTCCCTTGTGTTCATTCCTTCAAAGTATTTCCTCTGGAAAGTCTCGGAGTATTTTCTCTGTAAGGTCAAGGTCTTCTGCCACATTTGCTGCCACATATGGTGTAAAAAATGCATCTCCTTAGCTTGCCTGTTGCACAGTCTTGCCCCATTTAATCGCTGCTATCAAATCTAAAACTACTCAATAAAAATTATCTTTTGGTGGCTAGCTCAATTTGCCATAGTAACCCAAGCGGTGACTATAGATGGAAAAGACAAGCAGTACCGCGAATGCGCCATCTAACTTTCCGCAGCTGTTGTCAGATTCTTCCGGCAGCACTAATTGTTGTGCGTGTGGTTTAGTATAAGGATATGTGGGGATTACATGGCATAGTCTGCGTGCCTACTGCCTAAGAGTCCACTTGGCTGGAACAGGAGCTCTATTTGTTTCCCCTGTACAGTCTAGAGTAAACTACATATTGTCCACACCGCCTACACACAATTGTAAAAATACCTCTTTTGTTAGCGTAATTATGTTAGCTGAATGCAGACACAAGCAGTTGTAACCAGATGGTAGAAAACAAGTCTGTGTGCAGAAAGTGGTGAAGTATGTATTTTTACAATGCCAAATATTTATCTTGTGAATAGACTGTCTTTGTTGGCGTTAAAATGTGAATGAGTGAGTGTATAGGTTTTCACAAGCTGATATGAGTCAACTGTTGTTTTTGCCCCTCGCTGCTAAACTAAAGATAAGCTTGGCGTGAGTGCCAGGAGTCCTCTCTCTCAACTTATGCATGGCCCACTGGATAAAAAGCTATGCGATTTAATGTCCCGCTTCCCTCTATAAACACAACAGTAAGCTTTAGGATAATGTCTATCTGCTTCATAAAAGTAAATCACTGCCTATGTCTTTGTCCTTCGTGATAGCATGCTGCCGCTGTTTTTGAAGGACGGTCTCCTGGTGCCCTACTCTGTGACCTCGCTAGCGTTCCTGTACTTCAGCATGTACCTGCTCTCTCCATTGAAGCACTGCACTGAGGAGGAGCTGAGAATGGGAGCCTACCGCAAGATACTGTTCTTCCTGCCAAAGCTGGACCTAGGCTGTGTTGTGAGGTGGAAGGTGGGTGTCTTTTCAAAGTTTTCAAAGATTCAAGGTTATTTATTTATCATTTCAACATGCAAAAAAATAACATGATAGAATGAAATGTGTTCCTCAAGGCCATGTAACGCATTTAAGATAATAATAATAATGAAATACTAAGATAAATATTAAACTCTACTTAAATACATTAACAATATAACATTAGACAATAGAAAAAGTTATAGGGACAGCAGCATCAGGTAAACACTGTTACTTTGCTACCTTATAATGGTTGTAGTGTAAATTAGCTTCTATACTTGTATTTATAGACATGGAAATGCAATGTAATTAATAAGTTTCAGATTCAGTTTCATCATAAGATTTGAATGTTTTATGGAGGTGGAGGGCAGGTAAAATGGTTAGTGTACAGATTTTAATGTTCACACACCTAAAATCACTTAAATAATAGTGTTGACATCCTTAAAAATCAATCAATAGGTTAATCAATTATTGTTATTATTCAGGGCACTTGAAAGAAATAGTGAGCAAAATTCAGTTTGTTTTTATGTCACATTAACTTTACTTCTTCAGACACTTTTATTTCATTAAACTAGTCACATACTGGGGAAATAGGCATAAATTGAATTCAAAATTTCAATGTTGTTCAATCATTACGTTAATAACCGTATAACAGTGATGTTTCCTCTCACAACCCTTATGACTTTAATTGAAAATTTAGTTTTTGGCTCTGTATTATGAAAATGCAGGACAGGCAATATAAAACTCCCCTCATCTTCACTATAAAACTCCCCCTATCTTTATCTAACATCATTGCATTAGAGAATCTATAAAAGGTTGCTGAATGATTTCAAAATCCCAGGTGGCCTATACTTCAAAATTGCAGTAGCCTTAAATTGCAAACATGTGAGCTGGTACATCCAACTGTATAAATAAAGATCATGTGCCACTGTAAGCTGTGTAAGCTGTCCGGGATGATACCCCCTGCCAGCCAAAGAATTATTTATCACTTATTTAAGTTTCCACAGCGTCTGAAGTAGCTGCTCGGTTGGGCCCTCCGCGTTTGGGCCATGGTAGGGTGTCAGAGATTAAGAGAAGGTGTCTTTTTATAGTTTGAGTCATTAACACAGGTTCGCCTAGATATATTTATTTACTCAAGCTGCATAAATAGCGAGCGCTGATGACGGAGATAGGGTTTCATGGATTTGGGAGCGCAGGATGGGAGAGTGTGTTTCTTCCATCACCGGCTTATCTCTGGATCAGAACACTCAAACAGATGCACAAATCAGATCTCAGGTCGTAAGTAACAAGGAGGGATTACCTACAAGGAGTCTTTTAATTTTAACTCTGAACAGATACAGGTCCACAGCAACAGTTGTGAGGGCATTAGAAGTAGTTTATCAGCTATATGCTCAGTAGAAAGGTTAGTGGTAGGGCTGTAGTCGACTAATGAAATTCTTCGTTGGCTAAAAAGGGGGGGTGGCAACAAAAAGAGCTCAAAACTATTATGTATCTGTATGTATCTGGCCCAAATGGGACTCACAAGACGACACCTGCAGGAGTTCATGCAAACAACTATCTATGCAAAAAAAAAGGAAGTACTAAGAAACAATGTATTTACATAAAGACAGAGTAATTTGTGTATCATCTAAGTTTTTTAGATACAGATATAAAAAAAATACTAAATACCAAAAACTCTGTAACTTCTCTTTTCTGCTGTGTCCCATATAAATCCTTAGTCAGAGTAATAAGGGTAATAAGGATATAATAATAAGGATAATGTATATGGATGTACATGAAATGGAGATCTGATAATCTAAATTACATAATAATTCAGCTAATATAAATTTTGGTCAAGTACAACGCCATCGAGCAGTTAATTGACTAAACAACTAAAGTACTATAGCCCTAGCTGGGGGTTGAAATCTCAATTTATCCTTTCACTTTGTATACTCACTCAATTAGCAGGATAGGTTACACTTTTTACACTTGTATCTGTGTACACGGGTCTATGAATATATTACAGAAGTGGTTCTCAAACTTTTCACGCCAAGTACCAGCTAAGAAAATATTTGGCTTTTCGAGTGTCACAAGATCTAAACCAAGTCTAAACGGGATTATTCTGGATCTCGACTATGGCTAAACGAGGTCAAAAGTTGGACTTTTTTATACTAGTTCTAAACCATAACTAACCAACTTGTGGAATCACTGACTCTAAACTCAGCAAATATTTGAACTACAGATAACTGCTTTATTAGAGTACATGTAATTTGAGTGCCCATTGAAGTGAATTGCAATACATGTCCTGGGCTGTGTTGTAACGTGCATAGTTGGTATAAATTCAATACCAGCACTTTTTTTAGTTTATTGAGATAAGTTAAATCCACCTGTCACTCATGGAGGCTGACCAATAGGAGGAACTGGTGAGTGTTTGATAGACTGCTAAACAGTGAAGCAATAAATCCTAATATCACAAGGATTAGATGATTCAAGTATTTTTATTCATTTATTGCTTATTCCAATTTGTGACTTGTTCATACACTTTTGATTATTTTTGCTTATGAGTCATTCGCCACTGTGCTGACTGTATATTGTATTGATTTTTTTGTCCATATTTTACTCATTGTTCTTCTATATTTTTTTGTCTGTTCCAGTTCTATTTCAGCACCCTAGCCATGGCAGCTTTAAGCATCGCCAGTGTAACAATGTCTTCTCCACCTCATCTACCGGACTTGTTTCCTGTGCTCATCTCTACTTTCGCCTTCCTGCATTTTCTGGGAACATTTTTGTATTTCAATATTGTCCAGTTCACCGAGCCACAAAGCAAGAAGAGCCAAAAGAAGACCAACTGAACATTTTAGCATGTTTTATGTGGGGAAAACCAATACGGTAAACTATGGTGTATACTGTGAGGTGACTTTGACTGCAAGAACGCTATTGAAAGCAAAGAATTCCTGTGTTTTACATTTCCAGTACTGATGGTGTTAATACGTAACCACTCATGTTTTGGAAACTTGGACCAAATACTGTATGGGTTATATTCTATAAATGAGGTTTAAAGGGCCTGTATATTGATATTTTCTGATCTGTTATAATGTTATTTCCTCATCAAAAACATACCTGGATTTTTTTTTTCCATTCACACATATTTAACACAAAAATCCTTCATATTTAGACTGAGTTCTTCTCTCAAACAGAAAACCACTCCACTTTGTGATGTTATGTAGTTACACAGGAAGTGCTCCACTGTTTTTTTCCACTGATTTCAGTCTCGGGATTTGGCAATTTTTACAAAACAAAAGGTAAAGGGTAGCTGTTAGCTTAAACTACTTCTAGATGACATCATAAGGTGGAATGGAGCATTTGAGCTTTGGAAATGTAGACAGACTAATAAAGCATGACTCAAATATGTGTGAATGAAACAAAAAACAACTCCAAGTATGATTTTGATGAAGTAACAACATTATAACATGGCTTAAAGCTCATAAGAATCAATTTTGTGTAATGTTGGATTTTTAAAGGCACATGGTGTAGTTTCATAGAGGGAATAAATTCTAGAATTGTAAATCAACATCTTATTGGATCTGTTTGTAATTGTATGATTTATTTGGCCTATAAGAAAAATCCTGTACACCATCTTTACGAGCATTCAATTTAGTTTACTATACATTTATACATCAGAGGGTTTTGTATTTGTTTGAATGTTACACAATGCACTTCTGAAAGACCTCTAGGACCAAACCAACAGTTACACGTAAAATTGTCTTATTGAAGCTAATGGAGAATCTAAAAGCGTGTGCTCAGGTTTAAATGGTGAAGGTGATTATGACCAACTTTTCTACCGTCATTTTTGTACAAAGTTTTTTCTAAAATAAAATGAATGACATTAACTGAAAATGAGCATCCATTTTACTGCCTCACAGTTAAATGAGTTGAGGTAGGTTTTATACATAAACTGTCTACATTTACAAAGCACTACACTAAATCATACTTTACTGCGCGGCTTAGACAGAGCCAATAATTGGACAGAAATTATATCTTTGGGATTTTATTCGCTGTCATTAAATATTCATTAGGGCTGGTAGGTGCTACAGGAGTTGTGCACATACGACGTGTAGACTTCAAACAAACCCGTGACAGGACAGGCCTTTAAAGACATGATGGAAGGTGACACATCCGAACATATCGCTATAAAGTTGAAATACCACAGAAAGGGGCACAACCAATTTCTTTCTCCGCTCTCTCTGCCAGTTAATGACAGGCATTAAAAAAATCCATTACAACTATAAATGTTATCAGGTCATTGAGAGCTGCTTGTGCATCTGAGGCCCTGGGCCAATGGCCAATAATGCTCCATAGGGACAAATAGGATCTTAAAATCCATGTTAGCTGTTGCAGCAATGGGGCACAAATGCCAGGACAAAGCAGTTTTGCAACTCATTTAGAAATATGGGAACAAATTGTGAATGGAGAAAAGCTCAGTGGTGAAATTATCAGGACAATCATGCAGTAAATGTGAATCAGTCTTTATGAAATAATAAGTACACACACATTAACACACTTATATTAACAGGTTGCAGTTTATTTCAATAATGGAGCATTTGGGGTTTTGATACATTCCCAATTACAATAAATAAAGTTAAAATATTTAATGCTAGTCATATGAGTGGGACAGGTTAATATACAAGATATTATAATAAAATATAAGCATGCAATTACAAACTAGTATGACTCATTGCACTGGCTCTGTATTAAACTGTTTATGTGCTAAGGGTATAAACTTGCCAGGGAATCCCAAATCACTCATTTAGGAGATTACCTCTGTGGTCGTGTGAAGCAGTCACAGTTGTAGATAGCAGCAGATAGTGTTGAGACTAGGTGAGAGCTGATGGTTTATAACAGCCGTACTCACAAAGAATAGATCCTTTATCAACCTCCAGAGGGACTTGAATCAAAACATTAGTTTTGTTTATGGGGAGAGTGGCTTTGTCCTTCACGTGGCCTCTAAGGGTGATAAAGTGAGAGTTACGCGATCCACCTTAGGCAGAAATAGGAAATGTTGCTGTGAACGCAGCTGTTGCTTGGGTCGGCTCAGGCAGGGAGAGGCCTCGGTCTTCCCAGGCGCTGCCAAATAAAGAGACTACTGTGTTGTGTAAGACAGTTTGTGCCCCCACCCTCTCCACCCCAACATTTACTTTTCCAAAGGTGTTAAACTACACAGGTGGGGAGGATTGCATACTTTTAGCTTTTAAACAGAGCGAGGGTTGCCATCCTAAGAATATTATTTGCACAGCGTAGCAGCATTGTGGTTAATGTAGAATCAACATTTGTCAGCTGCCAGCGTGGAGCTGAGGCAGGTAGATGGAGTCTAACACACCAGAGGATGGCTGCTACTGTTCCAGGCCCATCTGCAGCAGATGAATGACGCCTTCAAAGAACTCAGCCTCAAACTGACAGCACAGATTCCACATTCATCTCCTGCCATGGCTCCACGGGATCATACGCTCAGCGCTACACAAGAGGTGAAGAGCAATTCCATTAGCTGTCAGCCGCCAAGACGCTTTTCAGACAGAAACCTGGGAACAAGGGAGAGAAAAACATGATTTTAACCCCACTGGCATCAGGCAGTATTACACACACAAAACACCTTCAGTATTCACAAATAAGAAAACTTACACAAAACCTATGTATGTTTCAGATGTACCACATTACTGTCAACCAAAAACTTCATTGTAAGCATTATGATAAAGCAAATTACTCACCTTAGCCCATAATAGACTTCAGGAATTCATAAGAGTTAGTTGGAACTGCCTTATCTGAAAAACAGAAAAAACATTACATTCACAAAAGTATTCAAATGCAAATAGGGTATTATCTTATTGCTAATTGTTACTCTGGATTAGAGCATATTTTAATTTCCCATTGTAATACATTTCAAAGCAGTATGGACATGTTGCACCCCAAGATGAAATTCACAGACACCACTCAGTAAATCAAATACCTCGTCCGAATAGACTGCATACTCTGCAAAGCACCGCACCGATCGAAGGCCACCATCTTCAGTTGGATAAAAACAGCCTAATATACAACTCTCCCATTTAATTGCGCTCGTGTGTTCAATCAGAAAGCATAAAACTCCGGGTGGGAAGGTGGCATCTGTCCGTGAGCTCCTCCAGGATTGATGTGGCAGCGTGGGCCAGCACCGGACCCCATCACTTTTATGGCATCTTAAGGAATCTTCTTTTTAATACAGCCCATTACTGCTGACATACAAATCTTCCCCAATGTGTTCCCCTCTACGACCTGATCAATTTTTACTTTGCTGAGGTGTCCCCTTTTGCCTCATTTTGTCATCTAAAAATTCACATTATTTAGGATTTTATTGTGGGAAAAATCGCAATAAAGTACATTAATGTCCACAGATGTGCTAAAGTCAGTGTTTGCCGGTTACTAAAAAGCTTTATAGAAAATAAAATTTGTTTCTGCAGTAAGCAGAACTGTTTAAATGTTATTTATTTTTATGTTCCTAAGAAAATATATTGTGAAGTGTAGCATTGATTTAGAACATAACCATGTCTCGGTACGGGTCGGAAAGGCTGAATTTATGAATCCTTTGCACAACTTCTTTAATTGAATTTTCCAAATCTCTCACCACACACAAATAATCAATACCCTCTGCTCAGGGAAACTTGCCTCAGAATTATTGGGGCCTTTCTTTTTCAATTTTGTACTCATCAGCACATACAGGCACGGTGGGAATTTGTAATGCTGCCACTACACTCCCGAGATTTATGCCTGCCCCAAGTCTGATTGCTCACCAAAAGTGACTTCTTTAGACTGCTTTGCTAACTAAAACTTTGTTAACCTTAAAGGCTGGACCGAAGTTATTCTCAACTGACAAAGATGTAGGACCACAGTAGGGATGCAAGATTTACTGAAATGGACAATTATTATGCACAAAACCTTCTGCTAACTATTATCACATTTTCTCCTTTGTGTGACATGCATATCCAATTACCATATTCTGTTTTTGTGAAAATATTGCAATATTGCATTTCACTTCCTACCACTAAAATAAACCACTGGTTACATTGTGTTGGGTATTACACAGAGCATGATCAGGCTTTTGTGTTACTGTGATTAAAGACAATCCTTCCTGTTCCTAGCACTTCTAACTATGAATCCAACGCCCAAGGTCACAGCTTTTCATCTAAACAAACATTTTACACTAGAACAAGATCATACACATCATCCGTCTAGATTTCACACTCCCAGCAAATATAGGGGAGAAGAGCTCAGCAGCTTTGAATAACAGTTTGTTTACTTAAAATGTGTGTCCTAGAACACATAGAGGGCCTATTCTCTCCCACTATAATCTGTACTGACATTATGAGCTCTGTTGTTGTAAGGAGGTTTACACAAAACTGATAAATTTTACAGATCAACCATGTGACAAAAATGTGACATTCCTGGGGCGTGCATCCACAATGCATCATGTATGTTCAGCTATCTTACTGGAACTAATTAAAATAATTTCTAACAACCTTATCGAAAAGCAAGCTCCCCTCCTGACAATAAAGGCTATTCATTTTCCACAAGTCACCATTGTGTGATTTGATCACAAGAATCGCTTTGCTGCAGGCATAAAATGTGCCTAAAAAAATTTACATTTATTCTCTCCTCAGGAAATCTACTTGAGTTGTTTGTGTAGCTATAGAAAATGTTGTCTTTCCAAAGGTTGCAAAGCACACAATTGTCTTAAAGCGTTCATTGATGCGTATAGTGTTAAATGGCCATGATGATTGAGGCAGAATAGAATTAAGGAGGAAAATGGTAGGCTTTAACAAATCAAAAACTTTGTGACTGCATTTCACGCCTCTCTTCAATCAAAAAAAACAACTAGGGCATTTTTTTTTTTTTTTTTAAAGGAGATATGGCCACAATCACATCAATTGCTCATCTGGTGGCTGTCAGCAACAAATACTGTGACCAAAGCATTATTAACACACCAGCTAGCAATAGAACAATTGGTGCTTAATCAGAATTGCACAAAATTTAATCCAAGCCCAATTTAGAAGAACGTTGCATTGGCAAATTAAATGACAATGCAAGTGGTGGTTCATTAATGCAGTGCTCTTTACCTTGACCAGGTTTCTTTGGCTCCCAGTTTTCCTTCAAATGCACCGTTACTTTGGAAGCTGAAACACATGATGTAAGCCACTGTGATCAAATGGCGGCTCACACAATCACAGATCAGAGATCATTACTTACTCAGGTCCCTGTGTCTTTGCAGCTCACCCTCCAGCTCAGCAGAGACTTCAGAAACGGCACGTCCTTGTTCACTGCTGCCCCCTGCTGACTAATTACAAAACGTATGTAGGGATATATTCAGAACAGTGTAGGAAATGGGAAAAGGCATGATAAAAGGGGAATAGTCATGCCAGAAGTGAATATTCAGTGTGTAATAGCCATAATCTCTCAGTTTCAATGATGTGATGGTAGCAAAGAAGACATTTCCGCCTCCTATGTTACAGCTCCAAGATGAAGAAAAAATATTATTACCAAAACTTCCTCCAGCTCTTTCCTGGCTTTGATGAATGCACTCATTGAATTTTCCAGTTTGGATCGCAAAACATCCATCCTGCAACATCATAGGAATAATAGTTAGCTACTAAAGAATTAAAAGTTGTTAATGACTGTTTATGATTTATAGTTTGGTGATAATTCTTCTATATTCTGATCATTATATTAAATCATTAAGCTGTCAATTCCTCTCATTTGAAATACCGAGACACTTTTGGTATACTCGTTTGACATAATAAAGTGAGTGTTATGAATGTACCATAAACGTGACTCATGTAATGTATCAGTAGAAGAACTATAAAATTAAAAACTAATGCTTGTCTTGATGGATGGGACAGACACAAAATGTCAGCCCAGGCTAAGGAAATGGTTCTTGTGTTAAGTGACTCTTATACAACTATTTTTAGTGCTATGTAAATCACTGATAATTTGGCCAATGATGAATCTCCATCATTCCGAGTCTCCTGTCATTAAATTTGGATACGTCATCATGACCATCAGGAACGTGCGGCAATTGAAATATAGCAACTAATAAAAGGCAGTTCTCTTCATATGGATTTCTCTTTCTTGTGATAGAATAATACAGAATTGCATTATTTAGGAAAGAGTCTTGTTAAAATAAAATAGAATGCAATATTACTTACTTTTCCTCATCTGTCTGTGGCACTTTTTCCAGCCTTGAAGCTTTAGATTTGGCTGCTGAATAAATACAACAATATCTGAGATAATGTCACCATACAATGAGGTAGATCTACTTGAACTGAAATACCTAATCATGCTAAATAATCATAATATATATCAAACATGATATGTTTGATATGCATGAACTGCATTTTAAAGATTTGTGTTAGCATTTTTCTAGCCCTGAAATTTTAACAAAATTTATGTTTTTTATTGTACACCTATACCGTAAGCATGCGAATTATTTAAAATAGTATTAAATTACAAACCTGCTTGAGTAGTCACTTTTGACTGTGGTCGTCCTCTTTTTGGGATTGGTATTTTGGAAGTTGCTGGCTATCAGTAACAAAATACAAAATTGCAGGTCAAGTATTTAATATTACAAAAAAAACAAATGCTACTATGTAATTTTACTTACCTGCTGTGTACTTCCCTTATGTAGACTGTAACAATACAAGAAAAACTCAAGTTTAAGTTTCATATGGTCTATGGTTAGTTTGTAACTATCAAGAAAAGAAAAAACCTACGCATGGTTAAGATTTAGAAATAAATATACGAGAAGTGGGCGTAACTGGCCCTGATGTAGCCGTGATTTGTTCTAGCGAGTTGCAGGGTTATTGTAGAATAGATTGTATGCATTTCTGGAAAATGGTTTCTTTTACAAATATAATAAAACACACGTGGTCGTACTCGTATTACTTGAAAATTCTACTTATACACAAGATTACTTACGGCATTTTGATTTCGAAAACTGGCGCCTGTGCTCCCTCCAAATGCCCTCGTGCGGAAACAGGTTCTTACTGATTAATGTTCCACGCCTACTAGTGATTGAGAGTTACAAGACAGAGCTATTTTATACATTTAATAAAATGCTCTCCTACCTGTACAGTGATCTCACTATAATGCTTTAATTTTCTGTGAACTACACGCAGCCCTACTAAATATTTTGTAATTGTTCCTTGGGAGCCGTTTTGAGTAATGCACACATTTTGTTTACCTAGCAACAAGCACTGGTTAGCAACGTTCTTCTACTTGTCTACAAAAGCCCTAACATGCTAGCTATGACGGGTTTATTAATATACATTTGTAAAGATTTGTTATTTTATTAAATATTATAGCTTGACGATATCTTAACAGCACTGTCATAGTTGCTAGTTAAAGGATCCTGTTGTGCCGATGGTAAAGATGTCATTTCAAGATTCTCCACATCAGACAGGCGATGAGGCTTTCTACATTCAGTGCCGAGCAGCGTACCTGTCGGTCTTTAAATCTAGTCTGGCAAATATAACCTCAAAACAGCAGCTTTGTCATGGTAAGTTACTAAAACTCATAAAGTCCATTATGTACAACAGCTAGATAGCATGACAGTTTTACCAGCTTCTCAAAATCTAATTTGTTATAACGACGTGACATTATTTCCCTCTATATTTGATGTCAACTTGGGTCATAAAGCTAAAACAAAACATGTTTGTTTGTAGAATATTTGCTTCATCTAAATTGGTTGCATTATTTTCTAGTTTTGCAGCAGGCTGGCAGAAATCCATCTCAAGCAACTCTCAACAAATACTGGACTGTAAGAACATCTAAACTGAACTTTGATGACTTCTGTGAAATTCTTAAAAATGAGAGGAAAACAGATGAAAATGAATTGTTAAAAGCATTCAAAAAACTAGACGCTAACAGTGATGGATATAACACACAGTGAGTTGGAGAAGGCTCTTACAAATGTGAGTAAAGTTTAATGTTAAATATTTTATTGAACCAATCATGTCATGTGATTAGTTACACTGTTTTAACAATATGCCCCATGCAGAGAGGTGACAAAATGACTACTGAGGAGATCAATGCTATTTTTTCATTAGCTGACATCAACAAAGATGGGAAACTAGACTATACAGAGGTAAAATGGAGGAAAACATAACAGTTTTGAAATAATAATGAACCTACTGTCTTGATATGTGGTCCTATTGCTAAGCTTTCAAACTATGTTCATGGATCATTGGCTTATATGTGCTTTCCTTTTGCTGTCAGTTCTGCAGATTGTTTGTGTCTACGGTGGAGCAGTGTCAGATGGCTGCTTTGGAGAGACTTGAGGCTGATGCCAAGTTAAAGAGACAGAACTTCGGCAGCCAGTCTTACAGCCCTCCTAAGAACCCAGGAGCTGTGCTTTCTACTGAACGTCAGGCTCTAGACACATCTCGATCAGACACAGACAGCACAGCTAATAAAGGTAATTATTAGTCACATTTAAGATGCGATCACATTGTCTTTAAAGGTAGGTAAAATGGTATGTAACTTTTCTGGTGGAGTGCCAAATGCTTGTTTGCTCCATGGAGATCTCACTGCTTTGACAGTATGGCATGTTGGCAGTATGGCATTCAGATTTATGGATCTATTATAGATTTATTCAAATGCAAGTGTTTTCATTGCTAAAAAAACCACCTTTAAAAATATGCATTCTTACTGTGAGTGGGTTTAACTCTCCACAGATCTGATCTGTAAGTTGGCCTGGTGATGTTAGCTGCTTGTCTCCATGGAGATAGATAAGTTTAATGTCATTCTGTGGAACATTCCAGGCAAACAATAACAAGGACACAAGCAGGTGGGTCCTAAGTCAGCTCTCTCCACCACAAAAGTTACATATTGCATTTTAAAGATGTTTTATATAGGTAAACTCATATTGTACAAATACAAAAGCAAGTTTCAACATTCTTAACTCCAAACCAAATCAGGGACTCAATGTGCAATGTTATATTCTGCAACATCCAAGTTGGTATTATAAGTTGGGCCGCCAGACAAAAGTAAGTCTATTTCTAGGCGCTCAGCCATAGAAAACACCAAAGACCTCAAAACACCTCACCCATTAGTTTGGATGAATAAATAATAGCTTTGTTATTGATCGATTTTTTTTCTCCCCGCTCTGACAAATCGCCTCATTAAGACAGACCATACATCATAATACCCACACACAATTAGACCTGCTTGTTTGGAGGGAGGGACCTTTAAAGTATTTCTGCCTTCAATAGATTGACAAAAGATCTGTCTACTGCGGTAAATATGTTGTTCATGGCATGGCTGGCTATAGACTGTCCAGTCTCTAACACAAGTAAAGCAGTTTTTACAACACTGACAGCATCACTATCCACTTGTTTACCAACCTATCACATGGAAAGTGGATATGAAAATCTATGTTTTTTTGCACTATTCCACAAAAGCAGTATGTGCAGAAAAAGTAGGGTCTGGAATCTCAGATGTGTAAGCCAGAGACAGGCAGGAGTAGGAAGATAAATGGGGTTGATTTAAGTGGTCAGTTCATGTTCTTGTTATTGATTTGGAGGATTCCACCACTTCTCACTGGGGAGATGATGAGAGATTAGGAGGAGGTGGAGAGGAGTGTCCCGGCAACCACCACTGCAAAAACAAATGAGCTCCCACATACTAGTCGGGATTATTACATTATTTAGTATTGATTTGTTCTTGGTACATTTTAACAAGAGGCTGACAAGAGACGATGCGTGGTTGTGCATGTTCAGTGTGTTGTGGTAGGAACTCAACAACTGTTTTGACTCCACATTTGTCAGTGCGTCACAAAATCATATATTATTTTATGGAAGAAAACATTTAATCTCATTTGCATGTCTCACACTGAAGAATAGATATAATTTGATTTTTCAAGATTACAGATGTACAAAAATCATTACAAAATGGATCGATAACAAATTGCATTGCAGTCAATTTATTTATCTCATTCGCTTGAAGGCATAACGCATTACTTTGCATCTTGATTTTCCAAGCTTGAAAACAATTATAGCCTCTCATTAGTGAATTGACATTTTCTAGCTTCAATTAGTGTTCAAAAGAGGGGAAGAAAAGGTTTTGCAAAATGAGACATTTGAATGGGTTCTGTTATGCCATTCGTAATTTAAAATGCCTCCCTAATTAATTAAAGAAGGTTGAGCTTTAGATCACATGCTTGTGTAGTCCAATTGGAACAAAGGCATCTTTTTTTAACTTGGCAATGGATTTCTGAGCAGACAAATAATAGTGTCAGAGATGCTGTGTCTTTCATTTTTCTCTCAACGTGTTTGAAGGGGGTGGTCCCGAATGTCCCAATCTGTCAATCATTCGGGTTTCTTAGTTGTTTATCACTATCTAATAATTCAAGTTCAATTTCTGATATTTATTTTGTCATTATTATAAGTATACTATTTTTTACTCATGTTTATTTTGCAGAAAGCCGGTCATCATCTCGTCCCTCTTCAGCCCGCAGCAGGCGGTCCTCTCTATCTAATGCTATCAATATGACATCTAGTATCTCTAAGATCAGCAAAGTACAAGAACCTTCAAATTTACAGGTAAGCCACCATCTTTCTTATGGCATATTAGGGCTGGGCATTATGACAAAGTCAAACACACATTGTGATTCATCACATTTTTGCTAAATACAAATGTCTGAACTTTTCTTCAAACCAGGTTTGACTGTTAAACATGACAACCAAAAGAAACACCCTAAACCCAGTAATTACATAGACAGAAATCAAAGCCATGACATTAAACAAAAACCTCGCTAACATCTGGATTACCAGTACAGTTGATTCTGACATAGAATTGTCATTTGTTTTTAGTCTCAAATTATAGACCTAACCCAAAACATGCTCAATAATTAAAATCTTCCAGCTAAGGTAGTTCTGACCAAGACTAGCTCAAGATCTGGAGATGGGTCCCTGGGTGCTGCACTGTGTGTCCACTGCTCTTGACAGGCAGCCCCAGCTGCACTGCGGATGGGTCAGATGCAGAGGACAAATTTCCCTTTTGGACAATAAAGTCTACCTTAATCTAATGTTGTGATGCATCACTATGTTCTGTGTAATGCTGCTCTATCATAGTATTTTTTTTGGTTCCAATTTAACCTGGACGAATGGATACACACACTATTGATCGTGGTGTTTTGTTTTCACTCTTTTTGGCTTAGCCTCAGCTGGTTTTCTTTACTTTGAGAAAAAAGTAAATAAATAAATTGCAATAACTGCCCCATCTCTCTGGTTTGAGCACACTGTTGAGATTGGAAAGGGCTAGACATCAATGCTGTAAGAAATGTGTGTCCAGAGATTACCTCCACAGGAACTTCACTATATTGGTTGTTATATTGCCAGAGGCTGATAATTGGGCTGGGGTGGTTCACTTTTGTTGCAGTTTCTCCTCTTTCTATTTGATAAAGCTGTTTTTGTAAGCCATACAATGCATGCAATAACTGTGTAAATATTTTAAATGATTAATCATATAAGTAGGTTCTTTATCTCCTATATTAAAAATGTGCATTGGTTTTGGTTAGAGCTGCAAGATTAATCATGAATGAATCAAAAATGTAATTTGAATGGACACAATTAGCAAATAACAAAGACTGCAGTTATTGAAGTACCATAATTTCCTTCACAAACAACAAAATATACTCTAATTGTGCTTAAAAAGTGATAAGCCTGTTTGTTTAAATCTGAACAAACATGCTCTGAAATGTGATTCTTTTATTAATTTGTCATATCAGTTTTTTTGCCAGTTGTTCTGAACACATTTAAAATAGGATTATGTTTAATGTTAAATATTTTTGTAAACCTAAACCTCAGTTGCAATGCTTGTCAGAAAAAAAAATGCTATTAGACATTTTTCCCAAATCACGCAGCCGTAGTTTTGATAGTTACATAGTTTGTCCCAACACTAAACATAGCTCTAAATCAAGTTTGTGGTCAGAGCAGGTGACAGTGGCTGTATTACACTGCCAGCTGACCCTCTCTCTGTGGGAACATTAATTCTGGTGTTTTTAAGCACTAAACAGGTGCCTATGGCTATTTTCCTCATTTAATATTGTCTGGACAAACCACTGAAGTGTTATGGTTTGATCTTGTATGCCTCCCGCAGCCTACAGTAAATAATTTGAGAAAATGGATTCCCTCTAAAGGTGTGGCATGTTTCCTCTTTATGGTTCTTTCTTTGTTTAACTTAGTGATTTATTTGTCCACAAAAAGGAAATATGGCCTATTTCCAATGTCCCTGGTCCTCTACCATCAACTGTGTTTTCTTTTAATGAGTCTCCAATGAAAAGAGAAAAAACTCCCTGTTTTGGTGCTCCCATACAATTTCTAAGTATAACCTATTTCAGATGCTAGGTGAAGAAATAACAGGAAAAATATATAAGGGTCCATAAATATTGTTGATTATCCTCTTGGTAGTTTTCAGTGTTCATGGGCACAAGATTGAGTCTGTATTTGTCAAAGTTAAATGCACTCCAATTTGCCACATCAATTTTTGAGGTAATTTTCTGTCCCCCATCAAAATGTAATGGAACACTTCTGCCCTCTTCTGGATGAACATCATATAGCAGCAATATATTTGTTGCTGAACTAATCAATCATTATGGAAACTCCCTTATGGTTCCATTGTTTCCTTCCATTTCATGCTTTTTAGTCATTTGTTGAGTAATCAATAATAATAGAATAAATAGATAAATAAATACATTTTATCTTTCAGGACTGGCAACACAGTTTTGTCAGGGGCTGTTTCTTTGTGGAGGAGGATGGCAGTATCAGCTCTCTACAGTATCAACTTCACCTCCCTCAGACTACAGATGCCTACTTGACTATTCAACCGGTTTCCCTTAGCAACAGGCCAGGTATCCTCCAGAAGTGTACTATGGAACTTTTCTAGTGGGAGGTCCTATACCTGCTTATCTTTATGGACATATGTTATTTCTTTGCTTTGAATGTCGCACAGTATGGCATTAAGCACAACTATCTTGCATTTATTAATATTAAATGACAGATATTTTATTGCTCACAAATTATACACTCAAATTATGCATTCCTACTCTGAGTGGGGTTTATTTATTTATCCACAGATCTGACCTATAACTTGACTTGGTGGTGTCACCCGTTTGTCTCCGTGGAGTTTAATTCTATACTGTGAAACATTCCAGACAACACATAATCTCCATGGAGCCAAGCATGACCTCCACTTGGAAATTTACACAATGCATCTTTCAATATGATCCTTTCATCTTTGTATTATTTCAGAAAGACTTGTACTTTAAAAAAAATCTTTTTATCATGGATATTTTGTATTTCTGTGTCTTTCAGACAAGTCCGATTGGATGTCAACAGACACTGCTCTTTTTGTCATGACATCTAGTGAAAACAAAGAAGATTCTACTTTAGTTTGTTTTACTGAATCTAAAGACAAAGAGGTATGTGACTTAAAAACTCTAAAAACAAAACATTAAATATAGTTTTGTTCCCTACACTTTTACAATCCGTTTCTCTTTGCAGAAGTATGTTTGGAGAGGAGAACTGAATGCAGGGTCTTACCACTTGCTCCCGTTCAGCAGTGGTTGTAGGTTAAAGAAAAGCAACAAGAAAGCCACCACTTTTCATAAACCCAAAGAGCTTATATATCGAACTGACACAGGAGAGCTAGATCTGTCTCGAGAACTCAGGTTGGTAATACAGTCTGTGTCAAACATTATAAATATTAATGATGAAATTAATTATGTTTGAGTAGGCCCATTTTGAGTTAGTAAAAGCTAAAAGATAACATTTTGGCATTTTATAAGGCTGTGTTGTTTACTCTTTGCCACAGGGAGGCGATGTCTGACATATTTGAGATGATAGACCTAGATGGAAATGGTTTGCTCAGTCTGGATGAATACAATTTTTTTGAGCTCAGAACCAGTGGTGAAAAGTGTGACAAAGATGCCTGGGCAGTCTGTAAAGGTAATCTTAATCTTATTCAAAAGGTAACAACCTGAGCTTTTGTGAATGTAAACAATCAATAGTTGCATTTCCATCACCGTATTTTTGATGCACATTTTAAAAATAATATAGATATATAAATGCAAGGTAGATGTGTTTAATGTCATATTGTGGAACATTTGAAGCAAAGCAATGATATAGCCATAGAAACAAGACAGTGATGGAACCCCCAAGAAAAAGTTATATAGTGCACATTTTAAAGCACATTTTGAAAGGTGGAAATGCACTTAATGTTTGTGTTGTTATGATTACAGAAAACTTTGATATGAGGAGTAACCAGCTGACAAAGCAGGGATTTATGGAGCTAAATCTAATGGAGGCTACAGAGAAAGATGGGGACCCAACTGACTTATGGGTAATACTCGAAGCAATGGGGTACAACCGCAATCTTGAGCTTGTAGAGGTGAATAATACAGTTTATTAATATGATTTTGTCACTAACTTCAGTTCAATAGGATATATTAGTAATTATTTGTAATGTTTTCAGGCCTGTCCTTTCCAAATTGACATCCTCTGTGAAAGTGCCCAGCCACAGTTGCATCCAGTTCGGTTAGACTCAGGAAATAAACTTCTTCACCAAGCTGTCCATAAGTCTATAACAGCCAAGGCACAGCCCAAACTTCTGCGAGGGAATGACAATATTTTGATCTGTACATATAAAGGAGATCATAGAATTTCCTCCCTCATTACCAATAAGGTACAGCTAACCATTCTCTCTGTCTTATTTAATGGTAATCAATATAATTATACTCTGAATTGAAGAAATCTATGCATATAGTGTAGCTTCTCCATTAAAGATGTTTAGATAAAACATTTTATATCAAGGCCAGACAGCAAAGGGGATTATTAACTATCTGATATCACTACCTTAGTATGGTAAGGTCTAGCCAAAAAAACAAAAATGCTGCCTTTTAAAAAATATATTTTTTATTTATTTATTTTTATTATTTTTTTAAATAATATTTTTTATTGTAATAATAATTTTTAATAAAAAAAAAATATATATATATATATTTTTAAACATTCTATGGAGTTTCTATGCCCAACCTGGCCACACACAACTCACATATAACATAGAGAAAATGTACACAGGAAAAGTGATTCCATAGTTTTGACATCATATTTACAGAAAAGCAAACAAATTAACATAAAAACCCTTGTAATCTTGTAAGTGATATGTAACCACTGTCTTTTGCCTCACAGCAACTGGAACATCATTAAAGAATGGCTTGCTGTTTTTAGAGACACACTAATCCTAATGCTACCTTTTATAGTACAAACAAAAAAACAACAACACTCAGACTGTTTGTTTTATTAGGCCAACCAAAAAGTGACAATCCATGTGAACAATGAACAAAGCAGGAACTGCTGCAGCAGCAGAGGCATGAATGTGTTTGCTGTTGAAATACCTGCCCGCACCAAGATGGTACAGTTTTCTTCTCTTTATATAATTTCTAGGTAACATTTTTAGTTTTATTTATATGTCAACTGTTGTTATTTTTTTCTGTATTAATTTCAGGTGTGCCAGCATGTTCTTCCTATAAATGAAAAGCAGGACTGGACTTACAACTGTATAGAAAGCATACTACCCAGCATCTAATACTGTTTTGATACTAGTTTTGCCATGTATTACTACTTTGCAGCTGGTGGGTCTTATCAATATTCTTTGGGGGCATGAAGCTAACTGAAGGCACTACTCTCTTAAAAACTCTGTTACTCAAGATAGACTGAACATTAGTGTTGATCACAAGCTCCTGAAAATGTATTGTTTAAATTCATATTTAAATTTTTCTTTAGTTTTTTTTTTGTTTTTTGTTTTTTTTGTCTGTGCTTGCTAATGTGTGCATTGTGTCACTATTGTAACCGCTGAACATTTCACTAATAGATACATGTAGAACACAGCTAACAAGATGTCACTGCAAAGTCTCAATAGTAGTGTATGAGCTACTTTTTCATGGCCATAGTTTTTGTAATTTTGGTAATCCGCATTTAGTCTTAAATGAACATGTATTATTATTATATTGCTGGAAAACTGTTTATAACCTATTTAAGCCAACTAATGTATCAGTTTGTTTCATTTTTGTGATGGTAGCTGTTACTGAATTAAAAGCTATTTTAATTATATTTTTTGCTTCAGTCACTTAAATAATTTCAGCTTACTTATTGCACTTCTTTCACTGTTGTAAATAGGGATTTATGTCTTTTTAACTGTATTCTGTGATCTACTTACTAAACATGGTTGAATCTGGTGGAATGCATGCCTCCAGCACTCAGGTTTAAACTTTATTTGCCCTTGGCCTTTGCAGCTGAGAAAAATCCTGCCCTACTATTTATATCTCCCAGGCCATTATTTGCCCTTTGACTTTCTCTGCTGAAACAGTAGAGCAGACCAGCTAAATGTCACATGGTGTAAGGCGTACATATAATGTTGGGGCTCTTCTTTGAATGAGGTTCACTTCAGTGTATGGAGAAGTTGACTTCTGAGGCAATGCTGCTTGGTCAATTTGTAAACTTTTGTAAGAGGAAATGTAAGATTTTCATTTGTTAATTACATTGGTCTGAGTTTTATCAGATATTCTATTACATAATCACGATTAGAGGAACAGAAATGGATTTTAAAATTTATGATCAATCACTGCATTAGGTTATTGCTAATACTAGGGCTAGGTATCATTAAGAAGTTGCTGATACGATACATACCTCGATACATAGACCGCAATATGATACATGTCTCGATACAGTGAGCTTTCAATTCTATATGATATTTTTCAAATCGATTTGTATGTTCAATAAAAATAATGACAAAATTATGCTGTGATACTAAAAGTCTTTGTTAAACTACTTCATGTGTAAAGTGAATATGAAACACACCCATTTTAATCATCAAAACAGTGAAAATGTCAAATACGTTGCATAAATGAGTTTCCTTTCACTAAACAAGCAACAAAACTGTAGCGCTGTAACAAAATAATTTAGTAAAATACACCAAAAAAATACTGTTGATGATATATCGATACAGCAGCCCATGATATCGATGCTGTATCATCATATGAAACGATACGATATATCGATATTTTGATATTTTTACACACCTCTAGCTAATACTGCTATACTAAACCTTTCTAAACCATCCTAAACTTTGCTCAAGCTAACTCAAACAGTGTGATGCAATGGGCAAACATTTATGGATTCCTCGCTGTTTCACAATTTTGGTAATAATTTTTGGTTTGCACATATTTGATTTGAGCAATTTATTTTTTCTGGTGGAGTGTCACACCCCTAATTGTCTTCATGGAGAAGTTATTGTTTTACTTGAAATGTTCCGTCGTGTGGCATTAATGTATCTCCATGTTGTCAAGGTGGTCGTACGCACCAGTCAAGTTACAATTAAGTTCAATAAAATAAAATCACTCGATAAAGTCTTCATGTGTGAACGTTTTGCAAGGTTGAGGAAAGTTTTGTGTAGCCCGTGCATTTATAATACAGCATCTCATTCCCATTCCAATAAATGTGGGGTACATTTTGTACTGGATGAAAACATTGCGTGAGGATGCCGTGACCCGGATTCGAACCGGGGTTGCTGCGGCCACAACGCAGAGTACTAACCACTATACGATCACGGCGAGCTAACCACACTGTCCGTAAGAGGGGGCTCACGCATGAATACCCCCGTACTAACTGCAGTGTCGTCTCCGAGTATCCTCCATCTCTTCACCCTCCTCTCTTGCTCTTTAAACCGAGGGGGCGGGCCTGCACTGGGGGGAGTAGCCCGGTGTGTACGTGTGCTGGCTGCCTACATTGCGGTCCCTTTCCTCGGCTCAGGCTGCAGATCACAGGGGGCGGCTGCTCAGGGCTCAAAACTTGCCTCAAAAATGGTGAAGATAACCACAGTCAAGACCAAGCCGTACACGGACCAGAAACCAGGGACCAGCGGCCTGAGGAAAAGGGTGACAGTCTTCCAACAGAATCAGCACTATGCGGAAAACTTCATTCAGAGCATTATTTCTGTCATCGAGCCCTCTGAGCGCCAGGCTGCTACTGTAGTGGTGGGAGGAGACGGCAGGTTTTTCATGAAAGATGCCATTCAGCTGATCATTCAGATCGCTGCGGCCAATGGGGTTAGTATTCTGTTAGTATTTTAGGAAGGACCGCAGGTCATCCTTAGCTGTGCTTTGCTAACTTAGCTCAGCTTTAACCCTGGCATTTTGGCTAGTGAGTGAAGCTAGCAGACAAGTTCACGCAAGTTCATTCTGTCTTTAGGCATTACTTTATCATTGTCTCCGAATATTAAACGATTATAAATGAGCTTCTGGTTATGTTAATAACTGCAAACGTGCAACTCGAGCAGGATGTAGCCCTAAAATGCTACATGCTAATCTATTTTGAGCTAACTAATAATAAAATCAAGGACACATTTTAATGCAGGTTTCGACTTGTGCCTGTTTGGTCTATTTATTCACTGCATATCTGAAATGTTATACCCCATAGTTTGTTCATTGGGCCTTAGTAACAGGTGTGTATATAATAATTCCTTGGACATTCCCTGTGGTGTTTTTGCCAGCATGAAAGCTCTGCTCTTCTGGGCAAAGTGCAGCAGGGGTCACTTGGGTATCACACGATAACCTTTGACATTTCAAATAGTTGCTCTACCTCATGTTACCTATTGAACTTGTATAGGTCTACTTGTGTTTAGTTTCTTCTCTAAAAGCAAGTAATGAATAGAGACCGCTGTGTTTCATAATGTTCAGTGGCTTCACTGATGTTAGGAGACTAGAGGGGGCGTGCCATGAAACGTGCATTTGGTCACGTTGTACTGCACAGTATGTCCCTGGTAGAGTTTTGGCACTGATTGAACCCATTCAGTATTAAATCAATATAGAACATTATAGATCTTTTTTTTTTCAAATTTCAAATTTATCTGGAAACCCTATACAGTAATAGACCTCCATCTAGGCATTGCCAAAATGGCATGCTTTCAACTACTACTACAAAAAAAGCACCATGTTAGTATAAATAATAATAATACTTTGGTATTATATAGTGCTTTTCACAGTAACTCAAAGACGCTTCACAATAAAGTAACACAAAAACTAGAACTGTATAAACAAGTGGTAAGGAAACCGTTATTTGTGCGGGTTGTAGGATATGAGGAAAAGCTTAGTTTGAGCAGTTTTTTGAAGGTGTTTAGTGGATCTGAGTTTCTGACGTGATGAAGGAGAGAAAAAATAGAAATTGTTTCTGAAAGAAAACCACATGGCTTCAGTTCTAAGTTGAAAGTAATTGTGTGCTTAAATTACTTAAAACAATGCATCCATACAACTTGTACAGTCTATGTATTCTCTTTCACAGATTGGAAGCCTGGTGATTGGTCAGAATGGCATCATGTCGACTCCAGCAGTCTCCTGTGTGATCCGCAAGATAAAGGCAGTGGGTGGGATTATCCTCACTGCTAGCCACAACCCTGGAGGCCCCAGTGGGGATTTTGGCATCAAGTACAACATCTCCAGTGGAGGTTAAAAGCATTGTGCAAAACTAATGTTTAGCACAATACTTTTTGAATAGTTCCAACTATATCCGTTCTTTTGTCCACAGGGCCTGCTCCTGAAGGTATTACAAACAAAATCTTTGAAATCAGCAAAAGTCTGCAGGAGTATCACATCTGTCCAGACCTGAAGGTGGATATTTCCAAAATTGGCAAGCAGACATTTGAGGTTGACACTTTCAAACCTTTTACAGGTATAATTATTTAGCATAACATCTAATCTGAAATGATAAAGACACATTATAATGACTTTTCTCTTCATTTCCACTGTTTGTAGTTGAGATTGTGGACTCCGTTGAGGCATATGCAGAGATGCTTAGAGGTATATTTGACTTTGCTGCACTGAAGGAGCTTCTCTCAGGACCGAACCACATCAATGTTCGTCTAGATGCAATGCATGGAGGTAGTGGATGCATCAGAATTACATTCTTTAGATAAAACAGTTCTTTTTGTAGGGCAATAATATTTAACACAGATGGTGGTCAGCTAAACTTGATAAACTGCAGTTTTTGTTGTAATATGAGCAGGTTATGGTGACTAGACACTTCATCATATGGATTTACTTTTTGGATATGTCCTACAATGTTATTAATGTATTAACAGACTAAAAACTGAAAACCAATAGTTACAATAGTTGAACATTGAAATGCTCACATATCTTTGTCTTCTCCAGTGGTTGGTCCTTATGTTAAGAAGATTGTCTGTGAAGAGCTGGGTTCTCCTGCCAATTCAGCTGTTAACTGCGTTCCTCAAGAAGATTTTGGAGGCCACCACCCAGACCCTAACTTGACCTATGCTGCTGATTTAGTTAATACAATGAAAGGTGGAGAGTATGACTTTGGAGCTGCTTTTGATGGTGATGGTGTAAGTTAAAATAAGTCTTCAATAAGGAAAAAACTACATATATTAGCCAAACATGCTAACGAGGCCCTGTCCTACATCATGTTTTCTTCAGGACCGCAATATGGTGCTTGGTAAACATGGCTTTTTTGTGAACCCATCCGACTCTGTAGCTGTCATTGCTGCCAATATTACCGGTATCCCTTATTTCCAGAAGACAGGAGTTAAAGGCTTAGCTCGTAGTATGCCAACAAGTGGAGCTCTTGACAAGTAATGACATGTAAAGAATTTTTTCTGCTGAGTGATTATTGTTTTGTTTTTTTAACCCTGGTCTTTCTTTAAAGTGTGGCAAAAGCTATGAAGATGCAGCTCTATGAGACTCCAACAGGCTGGAAGTTCTTTGGTAATTTGATGGATGCTGGAAAATTGTCCCTTTGTGGTGAAGAGAGCTTTGGAACAGGTGAGTTTCATGTTGTTAAAGCCACAGACTGTAACTTTTTAGCCAAAACCCGATAAAATAAAATAAAAAAATAAATAAAAGCATGTTTTTCATTTGGTTGCAATTATTGCACTGAAAACCATGTCCCGAACTGTGAGTGGGCTTGCATTTCCACAAATCTGACTCTTATTTGGCATGGCCTCTTTCTGTTTGTTTCCATGGAAATGTTTTTTATTTGGCAATAGTGTACCACAGTATATAAAATTCAATAAAGTATATATATTCAGAGAGAATGCTCTGAAGTAGAGCCCGACCGATATGGATTTTGCTGTGGCCGATATGAAACCGATATAATGGAAGTTGGAGCTGCCGATAGCCGATATAATCGCCGATATATTTAGTGATGTAAAAATTCACTGTAAATGTTGAATTGTTTAAAAAATTTAGGTTTGGCTCTGGTGGATTTTAAATTGGGTTTATTTAGGCAACATTTATTGTTATTCTGCCTCTTTACATCATATTTACAGACAGTAGGTTGGCTTAATGGCATTTTTGCATCACATTCTAGACACTAGTGATGGGTATTCCAGTTCTTTTTAGAGAACCGGCTCTTTTGGCTCGGCTCACTAAAGCTGCTGGTTCTTTTAGCTCCCAAGCGGCTCTTCAGATTGTTTTGTTGCAAGCAGGTCTAAAGCACGTCTAAAGCAGGACTGAATCAGGACTGAACCAGGTCTAAACCAGGACTGAAAAAGGACTAAACCGGGACTTATTTATTTTATGCTAAACTACAGTCAAATATGCTCGTTTTTTTTTTTTTTTTTTTTTTTAATCCTACGTACACGCAAATTTCTCAAAGTTTCGTTTTTAGCCGCTGCCGCTGTCAAACCACGAATCTGCACGCGGCGTGAAGAGAAAAAAAGTGAGAGAAAGAGAAAACACGGCTCCCAATAAGGATCAGGCTCCCGTCGTTCCCTTCAAAGAGCCGGTTCTAAGAGTCACCCATAACTAGTAAAGAAAGTAGCGCTATTAGCCTTTAGCCGTAAATATACGTGCGCGCCGCGGTAATTAATTATATGCGCAAATGTCATAATTCACACGTCTATTCACAGCTCATTTACATATCAGTGCAGGTCCAGTAGTAGTCACTTTAGAACAGACCAATAGAAAACAGTCTGTTTATGTGCGGGAGCTACAGCAGCTAACCCATAACAAATGACAAAAACTAGCTTCAGAGTCGACATATTTCCAACACTCACATCACAAATCTGCACTAATAAATGTCCTTTTAATCCAGACTCAAACCGATTGTCCGTAAAAAGAATATAATCTCAGTGTTTGGATCTGTGTCTGCAGGTGTAAACAAACACACGTGAGTGACGCGACTCTGTGGTGTGTTCAGGGACAGTACGGACACACACAGACAAATGACTCCGTAGATAAATACTGATGTGGAGCCACATATTAGGACATTTATCTGTCTGTAAATTGGATTAAATGAACAGAATGTAGAGAGTCTAAGCTTTATAACGAGGTATAACATGCCTACGTGAAATATCGGCCCCTATCAGCAAGCATATCGGCAGATAGCCGATATGCCTAAAGTTGCCCATATCAGCCGATAATATCGGCCAACCGATATATCGGTCGGGCTCTACTCTGAAGTATGGTTTTAACTTCCCATGGAATCATGTAGGTGTTGTACCAGTTCCAGAAAGTTACATACTTTTACATAATGATAATAATTTTAAAAAATTATCTTAAAACACATTTTGTCTTAAACACAAAGGTTCTGATCATATTCGGGAGAAGGATGGTCTCTGGGCAGTGCTCGCATGGTTGTCCATTTTAGCTACCAGGAAACAGAGTGTTGAAGACATCATGAAGGATCACTGGCAGAAGTTTGGTAGAAATTTCTTCACAAGGTCAGTTTCATAATTGCGTTCACTTCATAACGTCATTTGACTTAGTACTTTGATGCCCTCTTGTGGTCTCTGGCAAAACAGCATTCAAAATAAGATTAATTGAATTTAAAGTTATATTGTTGTTCAGGTATGATTATGAGGAAGTTGACTCTGATGCTGCCAACAAAATGATGAAGGATCTGGAGACAGCCATGTTTGACCCTGCTTATGTTGGAAAGAAGTTCTCATCAGGAGACAAGACTTATGAGGTGGCCATCGCAGACAATTTCGCCTACACAGATCCTGTGGATGGAAGTGTGTCCAAAAATCAGGTATGAGGAACGTGGATTAGATGCCAGAAATGTTTTCAAACAAAAGTCGAGGTGCTTATTGGTCTGGAGATTTCATTTATATTGAAAGAACTGGAATTTTTCAGATTTAGTAGTAGTTTCTTTTATTCTGTTCATGGATACACAAAGTAATGCATGGATTTTTTCCCTCAGTGCACATACTATTCCTAGCCCTTTAAAAAGGCCCAGAAAAGCTAAAAAACATTTATCATGAACTTTTGTGAAGCAATGAGTTGCAGTATTTTCCTTTTATAATGAATACCCTTTAATTACATAAACATAGTCCCTCATGCTTCAACAGCTAAAATAATGTATCCATCTTGTAACACTGTCCCCAGCTGCTACAGGTTGCTCCATTAGATTTATGTTTTCACAGTACATCTCATTTGTCTTTCTCTCACCTCTCGTCTGTCTGCCTCTCACAGGGCCTCAGAATCATCTTTTCCGACGGTTCCAGGATTATTTTCCGTCTCAGCGGCACAGGCAGTGCAGGGGCCACCATCCGGCTCTACATCGACAGCTACGAGAAGGACCCCCAGAAGATTTACCAAGACCCACAGGTCAGGCTAATCAAGAGAAACGTCTACAATCTACAGCTACAGCCACAGTCTACAGAGGGATCTGCTAGAAGTCATAACATTATATATGCATTTAATAAACCCACTTCACTGGTGCCAGAAAACACTTGCAGACAAAACATGTTTTATCAGTAGAACATATTTCGTAAAATGAGACAATACTTCTCTTCAAAGGTTAGTAGTGGAATATCTGATGATATTATAATAAACCAATGATTCATATTATATTCTGTTTGAATAATGCATTCTTTAGGGTTTTAATTTTGTTTGGGAAATGGTAAAGACATTTGGCTGTAATTTCAGTAATGTTGGTTTATCTCATGAAACCAGGAGCTCAGGAGAGTGATAGAATGTTAAAGTAAAATGAACTTTCTCGGACAGAAAGCTAGTGCACACATACATTGTTATAAGGAACAGTTAACTTTTCCTCAAAATTGTCAGAAAATGAAAAGAGCAGACAGAAGTATAAGTATAAGACAGAAACCATTCAAGAAGTTTTACAAATGATTTAAAAAAAAGTCTAAATATTGCTAATTGCTGCGCTAAAATGTTTCGTAGCTCATTACCATCTCATTTCATATGGACCTTTTTATAGCCTCTTTGATTCTAATCAGTGATGTTTAATGTACAGTTCGAGCCAAGCAGTGAGAGATACAGGACTACATTCATACCATACTCCATACAACTGTACAACAACTCAGCCTTATGTAATGGACAACCCTCTGTCCTGTCAATTATCGTTTCATCTTTGCACTGTTTTTCCATACTACCTCGCACCTTGTGTATAGCTGAAATATTTTTATTACTTATTTTATTACTTGTACTGATACCTTATTTGATACCAGTGTCTTGCTACTTATTTAGATTTTATTATTCCCATTTATATTTTTTGCTCTTTGTTATTATAATATATTGTGATGTGTGAGCTACTGCGTCTCAGTAATTTCCCTTTTAGATCAATAAAGTTTGTCTAAGTCTATAACACATATTTTCCTATTACGCTGTCTTTGTACAGGTGATGCTGGCTCCTCTGGTGGACATTGCCCTGAAAGTGTCTCAGCTTCACGAGAGGACCGGACGCACTGGGCCCACAGTGATCACATGATCTGTCTGACACTGCCTTCCCGTCACCCGCAGCAACAGGATACCTCTCTGATCCTGGGGTGAATGCTGTCTCGGCTTTAGACACTGGTGCTCTAGTTCTTTAACACGACCAGATAAATTACGTCAACTCTAAAAAAGGTACTTGGAGAAACTACTACTCAAGTAACATCAATTGTAAGAGTAACTGCTAGGATGTAGTATCTGATATATAATTTGAAGTTTAATTGGAAAGAAAAGAGAGATACTGTACTGATCCCTAGGGAAATTCAATAAAAAAAATAATGCTCAAAGTAGGGTGCTTTCAATGGGTGTAATGTCAAAAATTACATCTGAAGATGATACAAGAAATGTAAACTTTAAATTAATTTCATATTGTCAACATAAAGCTTTTGTCACTTGTAAAATTACTCACAGTGGAAAGGGTTACCAAAACTCAAGTAAGATCTTGTTACTTCATACAGAATATTACTGGTTTAGGAGTAAAAGTTAGGTGTTAGAAAACTACTGTCAAAAAGTTACTGAAGTAAATGTAACTGAGTAAATATAACCCACCTGCTTTTCTCATTTTAATGTGAATCAGCATTATGTGTTGCGTAGTCTGTGTATTGTAAGAAATAATGTCAACAAGAGCCCTGTATGTGTGTAGTTGTTGCACTGCCATGCTATAATAGCATAAACCTAGAAATGTCTACGGTTCATTTCTTATCTGCACTTAAAATGACATTTCTTGACTTTAAAGGTGCATTGAGTAACGTTTGTAGTGGAGGGCCTGCCACCTGCTTTTCTCTATGGAGATGTTATTGCTTTGTCTGAAATGTTTCATTAAACCTTTCTATCGTTATGAGAGACCAAACCAGGCCAAGTTACTGGTTAGATCTGTGGAGAGTAACAGTCAAAATGCCTGTTTTTCCAAGGTATTTTTGAACAATAAAACTAACTGTAATTGAACAGTGGAACATTCAAAGCAGGGCAATGACACTATAGAAACAAGAAGGTGATGGACCTCCAACCAAAAAGTTACATAGTGCATCATTTAACAGTGGTGGAGTTAATAATTCAGTTCTGCTCCTCACCACAAGATGTCACTGTGGCTTGAAACGCTGTATTGTAAATATTAACAGTACATACGGGGACTCTGTTACAGTATGGAATAACATTTCATTATATTAATCATTAGACACATATAATCAATATAGCAGCAATCTGGGACAGCTTTCACCCTTTCCATCTATTTGTTCCTGACTGATCTTGTGCCTTCCCTAAATCATTTCCTCTATACCACCATATAATATCTGGATAACCTGAAACCATCACCCCCAAAGAAAAAATGCGCTTCCATGACCTTAATAAAAGTATTACTAAACCAAAACGCTGTGGTTGTGATTTGAGATGTTACATATTTTTGTATTTTTGGCCTTAGCTGACCTGGAGTTTGAGTTACTAAGCTTTCATAGGGAAACAGAACACATCACGTTTAATGATAGCCTCTTATGAGCTGTGAAATAACTCTTGACAAATGCAAATATCCTGTCCACCTCCAGCCTAGAGCCAGTTTTTAGTAAAAAGCCCCTAATATTGGAAACTGTGTGAAAAATTGCTTCTTAAGACATTCCAGAGGCTTGTTGAAATCCACAAACAATTCATTTTCCCCCTTTTTTCCAATGTTGTTGTGCAATGAAAGTCAACCTAATCTCGATTAATGAGAGCAATAGTGGTTGGGGAGGTCGGGGATTCCATGTAGGTTTGTCTGAAAAGCAAGAGAGAATTATCCGTTCATTAGAAAGAAATTAAACATGTCCAATATGGAACTTTTCTTCACCTTGCCTTCATGGAGATGTGATTGCTTTCACAGTTTTAAAATATCTTGCATTACTTCAATAACAAGTATTTTATTGCTCAAAAATACCTTACACTATATTCTGATCTATGTTATAAACATTCCTAGAGTTGTGTTTTCTTTCATTCACGCATGTTTAACACAAAACCCTGCATATTTAGGCGGAGTTCTTCTCAAACAGAAATCACTGTGTTCCACCTTGTGATGCCATGTGGTAATACAGGAAGTGCTCCACTGTCTTCACTGTCTTTTTAAACTCCATAAATCTTCACTAGAATCATTTAAATAATTTTAGCTGAAGAATTGCCTATCTCTACTGAATAAATGGTAAAAAGTAGCTCTTAAACCTAAGAGAGAAAACTGAAACCGAGCACTCTGAGCTTTATATATAACTTTATTTCACAGACTCAAGGTCCAAATTGTACATACAAGGATGTACACTTAACCCACCAGCAGGCACACACACATACATACCCCCACATATTAAATAAAAATAAAAAAACTACTGTGATGTCAGGTCTGGTAGAATTAAAATACATATAGCTGGCGCTTTCAACATTTCCAGATGTCAGAGTAATATTGGGTGTCACTTTCCTTAACATCAGTCAAGCACGTTATAATTCCATTTCTTGATTCAGTTAACCTACACATAAATCTATACATGAGGTTCCTCATTAGAACCTGGAATGTGGGAATATTTGCAGTCACAGCTTTGTAGATGTAGACAGACTAATAATAAAAGAGTATGGATGGATTAATGTGTGAATGAAAGAAAACGTCTAACAACATTCTAACATGGCTTAAAGTTAAAGAGTCAATTTTGTGTAATATAAGACCTTTAAAGAAGTATTTTTCCTATTGTATTGTAGCCATTTTTGAACAATACTGGACAACATATGCTGGATAAATGTCAAGTATTCCCTCCTACAACTTGGATATCTGGACGTAAATTGTCTGCTATTAAGTTAATAAGCAGTAAGTCAGGGGAAAATTAGGTGAACCCCATGGTAGAGAAAATTGCTTTGAACAGAGAGGCCACCAATCATCCAAAACGTCTGTCATGTCTTGATGTCATTCAAGTTGATAGAAGAAATACAATTACTTTAGCTCGTTTATGCTAATCTGAAAATCATGTGATTTCAGACGTTATGACAAACCTGTGTTTATGTTATGTCATGATTTACATACATTTTATTATGCAAGCAAATGGCAACTTCAAATAGTCCCAGCCCAATTAATTTTCATCACTCATGTTTACATAGTTTTTGAAGATACTTATTTAACATTTGAGTTTTGTAAATTTTGTTGTAGATTTCTAATCCTCTTCGCCATTAACTGTAAGTGGAAGAGAAAATATTAAAATGCATCTCTGATATATATGGAAGCCCATTTCTGCCAGTAAATAAAAAATAAATGCCTCATAGAAAGTCATAATCATGAGTTTTAAAGTAAAAGAAATGAGCCTCCATAGTAATAGGCCTGAACAATTTGAGAATTTTTCTGATAAGCATTGAGTCTGTGGTTAGATTTAGGTTTTATAACGGTTTTTAAGAGGTAGACTGTGTACATTTTCAGTTGGGGGTCCGCCACCTGCTTGTTTCTATGGAAATGTCATTGCTCTACCTGGAATGTTCAACAGAGTGGCATTAACCAGATCAACCTTACATTTATTCAATTACAGGTGGTTTTACTGCTCAAAAATACCTAGAAAAACGAACATTCTAACTGTGAGCAGGGTCACCTCTCCACAGATCCGGCCTGTAATTTGGTTTGGTTTAGTCTCCATGAAGATAAAAGGTTTAAACCATACTGTGAAACATCCCAGACAAAGCAATAACATATCCATTGAAAAAAGTTTTTGACGGACCCTCTGTCGGAAAAGTTACACAATGCATCTTTAGACATGTTCAGGAGAGTTGACAAAAAATGGAAATACAAACTGACAAACGAATACAAGAATCACATATAGTACACATCTAAACAGAATTAGCAGGTTCTGTGCAAAGTAATACATATTTAGATTTTTTTTTCTTGCAGCTCTGCTTTGTAAATATTTTTTCTAATGGTTCACAGGCCAGATCTGGATTGCTTGTCATTACATCAGATAATCACCAAGAGGCCTACATTAAGACCAGTCCACAGCTATTATATGTCCAACAGAGTTTCTTTGGAGTTGGCATGGGGCTTGGGGGGGTTTTAAAGGCTGTTCATTGGTTACTTGTAAAAGGGTTTTGCCATGACGGACAAAGACACCTTTCTTAGCTACAAATGAGGCCTGGGGGTAAAACATTATCAGGGAAACTTTGGTTCACAGCTCAAATAAGTTATTTCTTTGGAAGGTATTTGGTAAGATTGTATTTTGTCTCCATACAAAAGTAAAACAAAAAATTACTTGATATGAGTGAACAATATTTGGATTGCGTTTGAAGAAGAAAAAAAAATCCGCAACTACATATTCTATTCGTAGTGACAAGTCAAAATATAAACAAATTTAGGAGAAAAAATTGCTCACTTAGTCATTCATTGCAAAAAGAAAATTGTATATATATATAATATATATATATATATATATATATATATATATATATATATATATATATATATATATATTTGATCAGTTTACAAATTCAATTTCCTTTTGCTATAAATCTCTTTTTGTGTTTTCACAGCTAGTGTTTTTTTTTTTTTTCTCTGCTAAGACTTGACATCCATCACCCGAGCTCCCAAATTTGTAACAGAACTATTCACAATGATTTATTTTATAACATATGGATACAATTAATAATTAATATTAAGTAATCTGTGGAAATTTAATTACTGGGTAGAACAGTAGTAAAACAGTAGTACATTACCATGACTCTCCTCTACTTTTATAACAGTTACTGAACTTTTATCTGCCCATGTATGGCACAAGTACACTAAATCCTACTAATCTGTTGCCAAAATAATGCCAGTTTCTAGAATGCCAAAGCAAAGTTCAAAAGTTTATTCATAAAATCTTTATTTAAACGTGTACTGCGTAACTTTTCTAGTGATGGCTCCGCCACCAGTTTGCCTCAATGTAAATGTTATTGCTCGTCTAGAATGTTTCACGGTATAGATTAACCCAATCAGAAGGGAGATCTGTGGAGAGTCTCCCCTATTCTCAGAAGGAATGATTGTATTGCGGAATAGAAACAGCTGTAATGAATAATTGCTAGATGGATATGCTTAATGTCATACCATGGAACATTCCAAGCAAAACAATAACATCCCCGTGGAGACAAGCAGGTAGCAGAATCTCCACCAGAAAAGTTGCGCAATGCGTCTTTAAACTTTGACTTGTGTAACAATGCTTGCTGAAAGATTCTTAAATATCAGATGGCAGCTTCAAACTTTCCCTTTTTAATTGTAATAAAAAACACAGATAGTTTGCAAAGAGGATTTAAACCACTATTATAAACACAAGCCTTGGGGATGTTTCAAACTACGAATCCTCTTTAAAAACTGTCACGCAGACTTTAAAATAATATGAAGACAAACTCCAGCAGACGCAGTACTTGAATGGCTCCATTGTCCAGCACGGTGCACGCCTGATTGGGCCACGGTTTGTGTCCTATTTATGGGATTTCGGATGAAAGAAAAATTGGATAATGAGGCATTAAAGGCTGGTATTACTAGACATTTGGAATCAATGACATATGTTTGTGTTTTAAAGAAAATGAGAAATGTGTTTTGTACCAAGTCTGAATGAGAAACATAAAGGCCACACAAACAGATCAAGTACTGTGGTTTATATATACTACTGCAATAATGTGTTATTCTACATAGTTATTGTAATTATATTGGGTTTGGCCAGGAGAAAGGAAAGTAAGTTTGTATTTTCTAGTCTGTGTCAAATATAATGTCAAATATAGATTTATTATGGTCTTGGGCTGTAAAACGCAAGAAAGGTTTGACTTAGACTTAGACTTAGACAAACTTTATTGATCCACAAGGGAAATGACTTAAATAACACAGTAGCGCACACATAACAATATAATATAATAACAAAGAGAAGTTAAGAAGGAAATGTAACAACAGTTTAATATGCAAATGTTTTATATGGACTAGTAGCTGTATTCAAAATAACGTTACTGATCCCCAACAGATAAATGGGACATGTTTTTATTTACGTTCATACTTGTCCTGGTTTGGTCCTGGTTTGAGCCCGGTTTAGTTCTAATGTAGACTTGGTTTGGTCTTAGTCCTGGTGCAAGCGTGAACGTACCCTAGATGATAATTCAATTCATAACATTCAAAACCGCCGCTAGGGAGTGGTTTAAGTTAAAGGTACACTGCGCAATTTTTCTAGTGGAGGGTCTGCTACCTGCTTTTCTCTGTGGGGATGTTATTGTTTTGACATATCCATCTAGCATTTATTCATCAAGAGTGTTTCTATTGCTCAGAAATGCTATAAATAATGCAATAGTGCTGTACCCCGCTTGTCTCCCTATGTTTAATCTATACTGTGGAATATTCGAGACCAGGGAGCCAGAGAGCTACTAGTTTTAGTGGTTGCAAAAAATTCAGCAAATATAAGAGCCATGGCAAGTCTTAGATAGGGCACAGTTGGATGCCTATTGTAAATCATAATCCAGTTATTAGTGCACAAAGTTATAGGCATCAAAATTATACATTTACAATGGTAATAGACATTTAATCAATGACATTTTTGTTTTTCAGTACAATACGTATAATTCAGAAATCCCTTGGTGAGCTACTTGGAAGGGGGTGGGGAGCTACTGGTAGCTCCTGAGCAACAGGTTGGAGACCCCTGTTCTAGACAAAGCAAAAACATTTCCATGGGGAAAAGCAGGTGACAGACCCTCCACTAGAAATGTTACACAGTGCATGAAAATGTTCTGAGATGGATTTAGATATTGCACATCAAGCATAGCAATATGTGAAGTCAAGACAGTGTCACTAAATTAAAGGTTTATATAACATTATTTTAAGCAGCGGGAGCCAACAAGCAACAGCATAAGCAAAATAAAGCTGACCTATAGCAACCATCATTTCAACTAACCATTTATATTCTCCCTATTGTCTGTTCATGGGTTTCAGAGTTAAAATTTGCACTGCTGCCATTGCAATAAACTATTCAAATCAAAAATATTATATCTTTTGAATGGTGAAAAGTGCTCAAAATGGCTCCTGTAAATGGGAAGCTTAAACTCATGACTTGACTGTTTGGTATTGATATAGTAAAACACACCAGATCATTTAGACTAGCCATCACTAATTGTGTATCTCTGCATCTTGTCTTGTTGACATCCCTTAAACAAAGAGGGTCACTGTCCACTGCAAAATGCCAGGGGTCTACTCTTAAAAAACAAAACAAAAAAACACTCCAGACAGATGATGCATGGTTGAAGTTTTAATAATATCCTTCATGAATCCAAAAATTCAAACTTCAGTTCAGACCACTGGAGACAAAATAAATAAAAATGTCTAAAAATAATCTATTCACAATGGAGTCTATAGTTTCCATAGCAATTAAAAACTAAATATTGTATCTATTGGATGCTGAAAGCTACTCAAAATAGCACCTATAAACAGGAAACTGAAAAGCAATAGCAAACATAAGCTTAATTCCCACTTAACAAGGACATTTTAGGTGAATACCTCTCACACTTTATAATCAGTTCCGCCTAATATTTCATGTTTCTGCCATTACTCAAACACAAAGGTCTTCTGTGCTTTTTCAGTGAGATGTGAAACTGTGCATCAAGATCATATCCATTGCGCTGAAGAGGTTACTGAAGAAGTGTCTACTATTGTAAGTACTCAAAGCTTCTCTTAGTTTTGTTTGTATTGTTGAGGGTGCTGCACCGATTGAAAAAGATGACACATTGACACCCACTGTAATTCATTGGGTCAGCAGTAGACCATCAACTATGACAACTATGCTCTGCAAACGTAAGGCGTGTTTGGGTGATGTGTTGTGTTGTGTGGGAAAGCAAGCTTGTTATTTTACTAATTTGACTTAAAGGCCCTACAGTACGCAAAATGTCACTGAATGTTGTTACCTCATCAAAAACATATTGGGAATTGTGTTTTGTTTCATTCACATATTTGAGTAACCCTTTGTTATTAGTCTGTCTACATCTTCAAAGCTCAAAACACTCCATTCCACCTTGAAGCGGTAATTTTTAAGTTAACATCTGCCTTTTTTGCCGTTTTTTCCAGAAGAGATTTGCAATTCCAGGTCTGAAATTATCCAAGTGAAGGTGTATGGAGTTTAAAAACACAGTGGAGAACTTCCTGTATTACCACATGACATCACGAGGTGGAACAGAGTGTTAAACATGTGTGAATGATCAGAAAATGGTGTAATATGGGCCCTTGAATTGTATTTGATAAAAGATCAGAGCATTGACGACATCAGCTGCAAAGTACCAATATAACACTTACAGTTGAAGCAATACAAAAATCTACCCAAAAAGCTGTTGTGTCTCTCCCTTATCCTTAATTGGACATGAGCAGGAAGTGTGTTATCTTGAGTTGAGTCTTGTGGGATAAGTCTCTGTAATAAAGAGGTGGTTTAATTTGGCTTCAGACAGTTTGGTGGACGGGTTTATCTCAGGTCAGGCATGCACCTCTCAACTTCAAAACACACAGCAGACACTACTATATGTGTCCTTAATCAACTGTGGTAAGCCGAAGTACGGAGAACTCGAGATACAAAATTATAACTTTTTCCATTCTCATAATCTGATGTTAAGTCAGGTCAAGGAAACTTACAGCAGACTTTTGAACAGCCTCCTTAAGAGGAATATAATTCATCTTTTCTTCTGTTTTGGCGTAACATGTTTACATTAAGTAGAGCGGTATAGGCTAATGATAATAACATGTCAGATTTGTTTGTGTTTTTCAAGTTGTGCACTGTATTTTCCATGGAGATGTTGTTGCTATGTTCCTCCATGATATTAAACTTAGCTGTCACCATGGAGACAAACAGGCGAAGCTACTAGACTAAATTACAGGTCAGATCTGTGAAGAAATGACTCAGTAAAAATGCATGTAGTTATTATTTTGTTTGTTTTCACGCTACTAAACACACTTGTAATTGAATAATTGCAAGATAGGCTGAACTTAATCCCATACTGTGGTACTTCAGAGACAAACCAATAGCGTATCCATGGAGACAAGCAACTGACAGGCCTCCCTCTAGAAAAATTACATAGTGCACCTTTAATCACTGTTCCAAAATTACTGGTAAAGTTTGGTAATGTGCTTACTGCTCTGCACTATAAGAATACAATTTTTTAAGTATTTCTCCATACAGAGCATATTCTGTTTAGTTATTTGTCTGTATTTCTTATATATTTAAAGAGAAACATCTTTTTTTACTTCAACTTGGATGAATTGTCTTTGCCCATCTTTCATAATTTAAGCAGGTTTAATGTAATGTTATTATAAAGCTACATTTTAAATCAACACAACTCATGTTCTTTTTCATATATTTCCAGGACTCATTTCTTTAGTGGATGCATGTTTCAAAGAGGATAAGCTGTTGACAGAGCCGTAACTCATAATTCAGTCCATAATGACGTGATTTTCTCAGTGACTCACAGTGCAGTTAATTGAAAGCAGCTTGTCTGAAAAACATTGGTTCTTATGAGTGCGCAGGGCAAACCGGGACACTGCATGGGGTTAATGACAACACCACTGTACAATTATCAATTCAAACAGTAAATGTAGGTCTATGGTTTATGGTTGAAAATCTCATATTTCTAACAAAATGCAGGTGGTGGGTACATGCCAAATTATAGCTAAGCCTTCCTTTGTGTGTTTTACAAGATAATATTTTATACTTCCTGGAATAATTAGCCACATGGCATTGGTAAGCTATATTTAGGGATATAATGTGATGCAATGTATAGGAAATGGAACAAAGCAATGACTTAGCACTTGTAGCATATATAAATGGTTTTATTTTGTAGGTCTATTTGATTCATCAGCCGTATTGGTGGTTTTCAGATTCTACAAAGTGATGACATCATACTCCAAAATGGGGGCAAGAGATAAGATTTTCCCATTGTTTGCCTTGTACTGTGCCATGAAATGCTAGATAGATAGATAGATAAATAGATACTTTACTGATCCTGAAGAAAATTCAAAGTTCAGCAGCAGCAACATAAAAAAAAGATATTTAAAGTTAGCAGTCCTTCCTCTTGCACTCACCAGCTAAAGGGATGCATTGTACAAAACATCCAAAACACACAAATCTTGAACTTGTTATTTTCGACTACTGACTAGACTCAAGAACTCACTGTCAACAAGAATCTGCATTTTAACACTATCCCTTTTAGCTTTCCCCATGTGTATTCAATATTACTGGCCTATCAGACTGTCTGAAACCCAGCAGAAGTTTAAATGACACATATAGGTATAGATCTATAGTTTTACTTTTATGGATTTTCTTTTCTTGAGATTTCTAAGAAAATATACTGTAATCAAGACAATAATTCTTGTGTCTCTTTAGAAGTGTGCAAAAATATTGAAATATTGATATATTGTATTGTTTAATGTGATGATACAGTATCGATATTGTGGGCTGCTGTATCAATATCTCACCACGTTTTTGTATATTTTACTAAATTATTTGGTTACAGCGCTACAGTTTTGTTGTTTGTTTAGTGGAAGAAAACTTGTTTATGCAACACATTTGACATTTTCACTGTTCTGATGATTAAAATGGGAGTGTTTCATATTCACTTTGCACAAGAAGTGGTTTAACAAAGACTTTTCGTATCACAGTCATGATTAAGCTTTTACTTTTTATTGAACCTTATTGAGTCAATTTGAAATAAATCGAATCGAAAGTGCACTGTATCGAGATATGTATGATATCGGCAACTTTTTAATGATACCCAGCCCTATTTCTCATAGTGGCCCATGTGGGCAAATTCTATTATCTGATCTGAACAAGTTAAAATAATTAAAATTCAAGTTATAAATAATAATAATTGTCACCTGTATCCTACTAATTAAACAATAAATAAATATCTACATTTACGTACCAACGTAACTGTATGAACATTAGCAACAGGTCAGTCATATCCGCTAGATGGCGTGTGTTGGCTAATCAGAGCCATGTGGAGCCTGTGGACAGCACTTCTCCACTCTCTGAAGTTTGCTGAAAGAAACGCGCTCAGTTGGACAGAGGTAGAGACGGGAGAGTGGAACTGGGACAGCCAACGAGACAGAAACGTGGACCAACCTCTGACACTTTTACGCACGGGGACTTTATTCGGAAAAGTTGAGAAAAACGCAAGTGGCGAGTGACCCTTGACGCTTTTTTTTCAGTGTCTTGCAGCGGTGCGTTTGTAAGGAAAGGTGCTCTCGTCTCGGCTTGTGGTGGTGGATGTTAAGGAGTGAGTGAAGGTGGTAGCGCACAGCCGGAGGAATGTACCCAACTCGGATAGAGACGAGCCCGTGTCGGCGGAGGAGATGTCCAGTCGATATGCTTTGGATCCCACTGCTCCTGCTATGTGCCATGGAGTTACGCGCGTCTGGTAAGTCCTTATAACTTTTAATACCAACTTTCTTACTTTTCTTTTGCACTTTTTCTGTACGAACTTCCACGCTGTCTTGCTGTTTCGTTTTAATTTGCCATCATCTTGTTACCCTCTCGTCTAAGATTATCGGATATTATGGGTTTAGATTATCTTTCTTTTGTATTGGGCAGACTCAGCACGAGGATTCACTATTGAGTGGGTCTTGACTTCACTGGGAGACAATAGGTGGCTCTTAACTGGTCAGCTGGTCAATTGTCCCTTTATGGAGCTCTGCATAATGAAGTTTGATTAGAGGATAAGTTCTGCAAAGTGGCTGTTAGGAAGACAACTGCTTTGACACTTACAATTAAAATGTAATTAAGTGAGTAAATAACCAGAAATTATAAGAGATAAGAATAACAGAATTCAGAAAGTAGCCTCTTTTAGTTTTACTCTTGTCTTTATTCTGTAGTATTTTTATTGTCTTAATATATAAACTGATTTGAGCTCATAATTCTCTCTCAGCTTAAGTTAAAGTTACAAGTAGTTGCTTGTGCGAGTGAAAAGCAGTCCTTCTTTTGTGATAGCCTACATTATATCCTTAAGGCATTTGGTTTTGTTTGTCCCCCAAGCTTTATTTACATTAGCCTATACAGAAAAGGTCATGTTACATCTAAATACTGCTATTCTCTGGAAGTTACGAGTAAGTTTGTGGAAAAGTATTTGTGTAACAGCTCTGCAAGATCCACATTCTTACTGCTATTACTACTACTACTGCCACAGGTACTACTTTTAGGCCTACTTTAACACCATCTTCTTCTACAAATGAGCTTGAAAATTGGTACTACTATACAATTATTATTACTAGTACTAATTATGTGAAAATGTTATAGCTATGTTTCTGTTATTCCACAGAATGTCATTAAATTTAACTATCTTCATGGAGACATACAGGCTGATCCACCAGGCTAAATTGCACGTCAGATCTATGGAGTGTGTTTCACATTACTAAAAACACTTATAATGAAATAATTGCAAGATGGATAGGCTAAACTTAATCCCGATTGTGCAACCTTCCAGCCAAACCTGTTGCATGTCCATAGAGCCAAAACGGCTGGCAAACCTCCCACCAGAAAAGAAAAGTTACATAGTGGACCTTTAATCACTTTCATTCCACAATTACATTTTAGTACAGATTGGCAAAAGATATTAACTCTTGAAAATTAGTATTATACAATTACAATTACTACCACTACTGCTTATATAACTTCATCTACTGCCACTCTGACTGCTACTATAAAACAAATAGTCATTCTAACTAAGAGATATACTTAGGCCTATTTTAAATATTATCAAGTAAAAGTAATTGTAATCTATTTGCATAGCCTACATGTGTAACTTAGTCTGTGGTCCACCTTTTCTTTTATTTTAAATCAGGTGTGTAAGTCCTTCTCCTCAGTCATTTTGCTGAATCATATCAAATTAAATGTAATGAATGAGTGCAGAAAAGCTCAGCCTGTAACCGCTGTGCCTGGCATGCTCCAATGGAAACCACTGCATTTGTCTTGTATTAGCTGCATTCTTCAGAGCTATAATGTACCCGTGACATTCAATTTCATATGTTAAGATGGTTTTTCATGAGGCAAGGCTGCTACATTTCAGCACTATGAGCTGTTTCTTCTCTCTAATATGTGAATGAGTTATTATATGGTTGTTGCAGTCTATATTTTTCACGTGTTTTTACAATACTGTGGATTTGGCATGTGTTTAATCCAAATCAGCACTTAAACCTATAGAGTTTGGGATAAAAAGTACTTGTGGGGTAAGGGAAAAACTGGTTGAGCTAACAAAAAAACTTTTCATTTGATAACAACTTTTTTTGTTTGGTGGGTGGGAGAGCAAATTCCCATTCAGTGTCATCACAAAATAAAATAAAAACAAAGTATTCAATAGACTTGAGGACCTTTATAATTCTTATTTGTTGATCTAGATAATGAAATGAATGAAATGTTTGCTCATGGGCACAATGGTAATACCCACCATCTAAATGCAACAAACTATGCTGACAGTTTGAATTAAATGGCAAAGAAAATGTACAAATTTAGTTTAAAATAAATTACTGGACAAATTAGTTTCAGTTAATTTTTCACGTTTTAACGTTGAGAAAAAAAATCTCATAGGAATAAAAATGTCCAACAAGCATTATAAATTCATAGTAGTTGACAGTTGTATAGTCAAATTTGCATTTAAAAAAACAGTTTATCAATATGAAAGCTTACATTTCTTTTTTCACAACTCAAGTGTCCTATATCTCATAGCATCTATTGTTTACACCATACAGCTCTCTCTCCCCATAAGCTCCCAGGCAATAATCACTGACATGTTCATAAAAATAAATTGACGACAATGTTTATCAAACTTCTAAACAGTGTATATGTTCCAGGGGCCGAGGCGCTCACCTCTGCTCGTAAAAGGTCTTCTGCAGGGCACCAGGTCTATGTGGATATAGTTTAGAATTGCATTTAGCCTTTTAATAACACTCAGGAAAGCTATAAATCATGTTGTGTGGAACTGCCAGGCTGCACTTTTCAACAGAACGCGCTGTTGACACTAAAGGGAACGGAAGATTTGGGGAAAAAACTGCTCCTGACTGAGAGAGAGGGCTTGTGCTACTGAGATGTCTGTATGTCTGCTGCAGTCGTGGAAGAAGTGCTCAATTTTGTTGCTTAAATAAAAGTAGAGATACCGGAGCAAAAAATACTCAAGTAAAAGTAATCACATGAAAAAATATATTTAAAGGTGCATTTTGTAGCTTTTCTGGTAGAGGGCCCGTAAAATGCTTTTCTCCGTGGACATGTTATTCCTTTGTCTGGAATGTTTCACAGAAAGGTTTAATGCCACACTATCTCCATGGAGACCAAACCAGACCAATTTACAGGTCAGATCTGTGGAGAGACAATCCCCGCTCAGTCAGATTGTCTGTTTCTCTAGGGATTTTGGAGCTATAAAACCGTCTGTAACTGAATAAATGTAAAAATGTTTAAAATGTACTTAAAGAGTAAAAAGTAAAAGTATTTAACACAGATTTTGAGATCTAATAAAGCTTCAAATGTAGTGATTTTGATAACGATTTGTGCAGAATTTTGCACAACAGACACAACTGAATGAATCATCTATTTTTATTTGTATATTTTTGTTTACTCAAAGTACAAACATGTGAAATCTAAACCCCTCTGCCTTTTCATTCGGTCTCAGACAATAATAAAAAATACTTTCAGTCCTGTTCAAAAATGTTGTGGAATAGAAAGTACGTCTGCTCTGAAAGGTAGTAAAGCAGATGTACTTTAAAATCTACTTAAGTAAAGTACAGATACCTAAAATTTTTACTTAAGTATCGTACTTTAATACTTTTACATTCCACTACTGGTCTGCTGGTATTACTGGCACATATTAGGTCCGTCACGATCATTTGTATTTTGTTATTTGTTATTTTTCTGTACTATGAAAATGTTTGAGCTGTAGAGAGTCAACTACATAACTGATGACTCATTATTGATACAATCTAAATCTAAGTACTTAAAAGTGCACTGTGTAACTTTTCTGGTTCAGTGTCTGTCAAATGCTTTTCTCCATGGGGATGTTATTACTTTGTTTGGAATGTTTCACCTTTCTATTTTCATGGAGCCCAGACCAGACCAAGTTCAAGTTACAGCTCAGATCTGTGGAGAGTCAAGCCCACTCACAGTTTTTCTAGATATGTTTGAGCTATAAAAACACCTATAATTAAATAAATGTAAAGTAGAGCTGTTTAATTTCTTACTGTGGAATATTCCAGGCAGAGCAGTGACCTATCCATAGAAACAAGTGACGAACCCCCAGACAAAAAGTTACACAGTGCTTCTTTCAGTATTTAATTCTGTTTTTTTATTTTTTGCGGTTTGTGATTTTAACCTTTTTTTTTTTGATAATCTTGCTTTAGGGTTGTGTCTGTGGCATAAATGAGTTTCAACATTATCGTTTATAGTCACTTCAGCGATATATCATATTTCAACATTTGTTATTGTGACAGGCCTAGTACACATGAGTTAAATGAAACAATGGTATTTGGTAATTGATATTCTCTGGAGACAGTTCACATAGATAGACTTTAGCTAAGGCTTAGGTTGCATTAGTCAGGCTTACTTAAGTCAGCTGTTGGACAAAGCTTTGTAACTAAAATGTTTTCTTTAAAATGTCATGCAAGATATATGTTTAGTTAAGTGGATTCTTTGCCACTGCATCATAAACAGGACAACTTAAAGCAGGATCTCACCTATGGTCATAACAGTAAAATGAAATCTATGACTTTTCTGACTTGTGACAAAGTTAGACTTGTACAAGGCTGTTTAAAGAGGGGATAGCACAGGATAGATAGCTATATTACTCAAAAATGCATGGATGACATATAATACCTCTTCAGGCATGTTTGGTGAGGAAACAGCATTATAACATGGAAGCTCCAAAAAGTCAATTTTACATAATACATCCTTTTTAAAAGTTTTCAAAATTCACTTTTGCTATTGATATTCCGATTTTTAAATATCATTATCTTATTATAAATGTCCATAGACACTGTATGGGACATCAAAGGCATCAAATGGTATGCACTCTTGGCCCATGTTGAAAAATTAGGCAGGAACTGTATGTGTGAAGCAGCTGTGAGAGGGGAGTATTCTAGAGTCACACAAACCTTATTTTTACAGGAAGAAATTCAGTTTAATCAGAGCTTAACCATAAATCAATGGTACTAACAGTTTCATGTCTCTCATTTATTTTTAAATGAGGTCCCTGTTTTTGCCAAGTTTTACTGTACTTCCTTAGAGCCTTGGGGTAAACATAAGGATGATAGAAACTTTGTGTTTTCGTCTAGTAAGACAACTTTGTAAAAAGCAAAAAAGCTTGTTTGCTTGACAAGGTTCGGCAGCACCTCTTACGAAGGCAGAAGTACAGCCGCTAAGCTGTTAAACTTTTTATTAGAA